GTGCTGCGCGCCGCACAGTGGGCAAAGGCAGAGATTTCGTGCTGAAAATACATATTAGGGAGACTAAAAAATTATTATTTTTACATAGACTTTAAAAAAAAACTTACGTCGACGAGGGACTTCTACCCCCAAGGTGGACCGACGACCTCATAAAGATAACAGGAAGGCGCTGGATGCAGGCCGCTACCAAGCAACCAGGCGATATGGAAATCATTTGGGGAAGACGTCTATGTTCAGCAGTGGACGTCTTTGGCTGAAATGATGATGATTAATAAAAAACATTATTGTCCGTTTTCACCATCAATCCCTAATTTTTATGTGACCCCTATGTAAACAAAATTCCTATTTTTTGTTACAGTAGGGGTCTCTTAAAAATTAGGGATTGATGGTGAAAACGGGCATAATAATTCTAGTTTCGCTCTACCCACTAAATAAAACCTTCGCTACTCAAATCGGTTGCATAGTTCAAAAGATCTAAGCTCATAGACAGCGGGAGCGACTTTTAGGTAAAGGGGAACGATAGAGATATTTCATTAATTAATAGAGACCATAAAAATCATTAGTGAGCCTATACGGCATCTTTAATTTAATTACAAACCCAATAAATACTTTCTAAAAAAACTTGATACTTTATGTGAATTTTAACTTTGTTGTTCAAAATGTCAACCCACTGTGCGTTCTCGAGCTTGGCGCCCAATGTTTTACAGCTATTTATTTATTTTCAGTAACTTATGGTGCCTCTCCGTACCAGACGCTGATTTGCGAATATCCCTTGTAACTACGCTCAAGTAAATTAGTACAAATTACGCGTGCTGTCATAACAATTACATTTGCTAAGTTTAATTTGTTACACAATGCAGTAAATTTCGAGTTACAACAATACATTGTGCAGATTTCCTTAATTTAATGATGTTTTCGCTCATACTTTAAATGATACAAGACGGAAGAAAAGAAACAACGAAGGCATATTTGATTTACCCAGTGCAAACAGAACCAAGTATGTTTGTGAATTAGTAACTATTAAAAAAATAATGTTATTAACTGGTTTTTTCAAGTGTGAATTTTAATTTTTTCATGCATTATGTATTTAAAAAATAATGACGAATAGTAATAATATCCACTAGATACAGGACCTAGTTAGGTCCTAACATTGTAACACTAAATACAGCATTAATAATTATTCGTTACTAGCTGACCCGGCGAACTTCGTACCGCCTTAGCGTAGAGATTTTCTTAATATTTTTTTCCGTAAGAACCATCCTTGGACTTCCACAAACATTTAAAAAAAAGAATTATCGAAATCGGTTCAGCCGTTCACACGTGATGCCGTGACAACGCGAAACGGGTTTCATTTTTATATATATAGATTAATTGTATTAAATAAAAAACAGACTCGATGACTAGTGTAATTCTTTTGAATTATTTATCGGTCACGTTTATTGGTCTGTAAAATATATTAAGTATGTAGTGTTTTTTGCGAGTTTTTCATAACATCTCGTTCTCCACTCGCTTCGTGCAAGAATGTTCGTATTTTGGGCGGCCATTTTAATTTATGTTGGTGCTCACTGCAGGCAATATGTAGATGCGAGTGAAAAATAAAAGTACCTAAGTAGGTAACTAGGTAGGTAGTTACTGCGAAACTTGGGCAGTTGTGGCCTGTTTTAAAGAAACTTAAAATAAAATTTGGCTCTTTCCAATTTTCCATGTTGAGATACTTAAATGAAAGTAGTTTACCGTTGGCTGACTGCCTATTTTAGTTTGTAAAGGCAATACTTACAATTACATAAATTCCTCTGACATAATCATACAGTACGAATGTTACGTTTTTTGTTAAACGTCTTAACTCTAAAGTAACTTACTTGAATTTCAAGTACAATCTAACTAAAGTAACGAATATTTAATGGAACGAACGTTAGGAAAATCCAGAAATCATGCAGCTAAAGGAAAATGAATTTATGCTAAGTGATAGCCGAAGTTGGCTTCGGACTCGAGTATAAATCGCTTACTCCACATTCTTCAGTTGGGTGTGAATTCCGAATTCTACGTAAAGATCGTTTGGCGTCCTCCCGGCATTCGTGAGGACGATGGTAGTATCCGTGATAAGATGGAAAAATGCATGAGAGCGCTACGTCAGCATCAGCCATCGACAAATCACGTGACTCACCGTAGATTCGGCGGCATTGCGTGATAGTTTTCCATTACGCTTTGGTGTTTTCGTGATAGGTAAGTAAATGTTGATTGAGCGAAGAACCTATGATAGGTATAAGATGTTTTACTTTGGATATAATCCACAGGGAATAAGAGGTTGTTGCTTAGGTACTAACTTAACATTCAAGGTAGGTATTACCCGCTACAATAATTGGAAACCCTACATCAAATAAAGCTGATAAACATTGACACTCAATTACCTTCGTCCCTGGAGATGTTATTAAACCAGGCCTTGATTGGAGTCTCAGTGATCAATAACTGTTTAAATTCATCAAATTGTTATGTCTTAATTACAATATTGCCAAAATATTATCCCAAACAGATTACAAAGAGGTAAGTACTAGGTGTTGATAGAATACAGACCCAAGATTTCATGGGAAAACATGATTATCTAACATTGTATCTATTCCAAGCAATCAAACGTGTTCTCTTCTAGACTTTAATTTCCGAAAATGAGAATCTGAAGAATGCCCAAGTATTTAAATTGAAATAAAAACAGAAGTGTATTGGATGCAATAACATTTCACATCTGAGCGTCCGGATATGACAAGTTACTGGCAATATGGTGTGTCGCAACCAACGTTATTGGGAGATGATCTATGGTTCGGGATTCCCGTGTGAACCCAGCCTATTGCTTGCTTGTAGCTTTAAATTGCCACCATACATCATAAGTGGAATAAATTACAGTTTTATTAACTTTCGGATAAACATAATTACCTGACAGAATCCACGATAATCCATAAATTATGGCTGACCTAAGTTTTTAGCGTATGGTGTTTTGCATAATAAATTAATTAACTAATATTCATCATAGATAAAAAATAACATGTAACATTAGGAGAAAGTTAAAACTTACTTAAACGATTTATTTATAGACTTGACCGAAACTGTGATTTCAGATTAATTCAGATGTAACAGAACTAAATTCTGAGCCGGAGGACCCACCTCGTAGTAACTTTCATAAACAACGCATACTTAGTTAACTAGGTTATCTCTATAGCTCATTTAAATAATCTTAAAATCCATATCAAACATTAATAAATACGTGCCTCTGACTTTGGTCACAATATCGTAATATTTCTGCGTAATATTTAGATAACGCCTGTTCATAAGTTGGCTGCAATATTGATGTTGTGTTAATCTCTGCCATAAATTCAAAATCCAATCGATGGCGCGTTCGCTGTGGGAGGGTAATAGGTTTGGCTAAAGATGTAAAGTTAAGAGCATTTACAACGCGAACTCAAGTCAATTATAGCGAACCAAGCTTTAATTAAGTTACTGACTTATCTTCCCTGTCGTTCGTTCAACTGTAATCGGGTATTAGCGGCGGCAGAAACCTACGCTTTCTGTTTTGAATTCTACACATTGATTTATTAGCTAAAGTCTGAATTTGCAAAAATCCAGAGTAAAAAGTATGAAAACGTCATAAATTGCAATCACATCTTCACATCGCGTCGCACTCACTCCAGCCAAAGGCAAGACTAATCAACAGTTTATATTAAATCGTCCACTGGTGAATCCGGGCTTCATAATAAGATAAAAACTTTTTTTAAATTGGATTTATTATATGTATTATAAATGTATTATAAAATATAATAACAAATGAAAGTCGTTCTGTTTTTGACTGCAGATAGATACACTTGTTTATCAGCCAGCAAAGTGTTTTAACGTAGGTACTAACTACCTATAGTTAAAGCCAATCACACCATCTAGAGAGTTAATTAACTTACAGAATTATCTCGGCAGCCGGGCTCTGTATTTTCAGAGTTGGGAATCTTCGACTTACCTTGTTTGGACCTTGTTTACTCATTCAAATTTCTTTGGGTTAGTTTCTGTTATGTGCAATAGTAACTAAGATTAGGTATAGGACGTATAATCTTAATATTTTTTGCCAAAATAAAGCTAAATCCAATCAAATTCTTAAAAATCGATGGAATACCGCAGGTATTTGCAAATAATTAAAATTAATTGTCAAAAAGCACTTCAGTTCAACAAAGAGAACTTTAAATTCTAGTACCGTCACCGTTACGGACACAGTTTAACTTTTCCCCAACAAACTCATCTCCCGTGTTCATTAGTTAGAATAGTTCATCATCATGCTTCCTTTCAGCCCGAACCTCGAGTAATATCCCGCCTCGCCCGTCGCCCTAGTTCCCTCAATAGATTGCTGTAACAATACATAAGAACTAATTTGCGCCGGTCGACGAAAGAGTTTCATCGAAAGAAAAATTGGAGGATGGAATAGTTTTGCTGTTCGTAGGGCTGCCTCTTTAGTAACTACAATATAAGAGGCATGCTGGCTTGCGCGTGCAAATGCAATTATTAGTGAAAAGTGGCTTGAAAATACATAAAACCTCATACGTTCACGTTCCGTGAACGGAAAACAGTGGAAGCACGCTGCTGTAATGACAAGAGATTTCATTTTCAGTTTTTATAATATTATTCTTTAAAAGTTACATTGTATATTTTTCCACATAATAAAAGATTAAAGATGACACTTGATTCAATCTTCTTAACTACGATATGATTCAAGATCAGGAGTTTGAAGTTGATCAGATCTTTTAATTTATAAGAAGAATCCTTCGTAAATTGGACACCCTGCGGACCCCTAGACGAAAACAAGGAAAACAACTAAACAAGAAGTTTGTAAGAAGAACATACCAGTAGATTAAGCTGAGTTTAGATGAATAACGCCTAGCTAGGTACGTTCAAGTTAGGTACCTACTTTTAGATACTGAACTCTGACAAAAAATAAAAAGACAGATTTAAAAATTCTCATTTTCATTTTAAAATACAGTATTCTAATTTTAAAGTTCGATTCTTCTTGCAGGCGGCGGCGGCGGCGCGGGCGCGCGGTAGTGGCGCTCGTAGATGGCGTCCCAGAAGCGCGCGCGCTCCTCCAGCAGCGCGCCGCGCAGCCGCAGCGTGCGCGCCAGCGACATGTGCGGCGCGCCGCCCGCGCCCGCCGCCGGCCACGCGGGCAGCGCGGAGCCCGCCGGCACCGGACTCCTGGGAACAAGCAAAATAATGTAGCTTGAATAAAACACTGAGGATTGTTAAACTGTTTGGATTTCAATTGACAATAACTTACCCCGTTGTAATAAAGTTAAGCCATAGTTCTCTCATTACTTTTTTCATGTTTTTCAGTTCTTCAGAGATATTGCTCTCGTCATTGCTTTGCCAATTATTTTCATCTCCATCAAATACAGCCTTGCTTTGAGCACCATGAGTTGCTCCTCTCACGTTCTTGGTATAGGGTACAATAGGCGTAGAGTCTTCCACAAAACTGTATTCATACAAAAAGATTTCATCGTGCCCTGCTTTCACGTGCATGTTCACAGCTCTTAAAGTAGGATATGTAAAAAATAAATCTGAGATAAAATCTACGTATGACAATACCGATTCTTCATCTGCACTAACTGGTTTATTACCGAAATAAAACTCTTTGATTTTTTGGATGACTGCTGCTTTTTCATTTTCACTTTTAAACTGTAAGTCTTGCGGTAGAAAAGCAGAGAAGTTCTCATTCATTTTATCTTTCAAAAAGTTAAATGAATGGATTCGCATTAAACCCTCCATTCCAGTAATTAAAGTTCGGAACGCCTGGCAGGCGGCGGCGGCGGCGGCGCGGGCGCGCGGTAGTGGCGCTCGTAGATGGCGTCCCAGAAGCGCGCGCGCTCCTCCAGCAGCGCGCCGCGCAGCCGCAGCGTGCGCGCCAGCGACATGTGCGGCGCGCCGCCGGCGCCCGCCGCCGGCCACGCGGGCAGCGCGGAGCCCGCCGGCACCGGACTCCTGGGAACAAGCAAAATAATGTAGCTTGAATAAAACACTGAGGATTGTTAAACTGTTTGGATTTCAATTGACAATAACTTACCCCGTTGTAATAAAGTTAAGCCATAGTTCTCTCATTACTTTTTTCATGTTTTTCAGTTCTTCAGAGATATTGCTCTCGTCATTGCTTTGCCAATTATTTTCATCTCCATCAAATACAGCCTTGCTTTGAGCACCATGAGTTGCTCCTCTCACGTTCTTGGTATAGGGTACAATAGGCGTAGAGTCTTCCACAAAACTGTATTCATACAAAAAGATTTCATCGTGCCCTGCTTTCACGTGCATGTTCACAGCTCTTAAAGTAGGATATGTAAAAAATAAATCTGAGACAAAATCTACGTATGACAATACCGATCCTTCATCTGCACTAACTGGTTTATTACCGAAATAAAACTCTTTGATTTTTTGGATGACTGCTGCTTTTTCATCTTCACTTTTAAACTGTAAGTCTTGCGGCAGAAAAGCAGAGAAGTTCTCATTCATTTTATCTTTCAAAAAGTTAAATGAATGGATTCGCATTAAACCCTCCATTCCAGTAAAACCGTACAGTAATGGTACTTTTCTATAGTTTCCATTCTTTAAAATATTGTACGGGGACTCGGTGAGGAAAGCACCTTCCGTATTACGCTCTACACATGGTGAGAACACAAAAGTGAAATTAGTTCTGTCAAGAAAGGGGTCCGATGTCAACACGTCATAGCTCGCTGTGGTATAGAACTCTTCCAAAGCGTACACGTCATCTACGTTTTCAAAGCCTTTGGATCTAGCAAAGGTTTTTGCATTTTCTAGGGGATCAACTTGAACTGAAAAATTGGCCAAGTTAGATCCACTTTCTGGAATTACTTTATTGAATAAGCCTTTTGTAATGGGCGAAATCATTAATAGATCTACGGCTGAGGATCCGGCACTTCCGCCTGCGATGGTCACATTTTCTGGGTTTCCCCCGTAGCTTGCAATATTGTTCTTGACCCAATGTAAAAGAGCTACCATATCTTTCATTCCAGCATTTCCTGGTGCCTTTTCAGTGCCTAAACAAAGAAATCCGTGTATTCCGAGGCGATAGTTGAATGTTACTACAATGACTTTTTTGCTTCTTACCAAGTTTTTGGGAGATACCATATTTCCAAAGCCAATTTGGAATCCTCCCCCGTGAACATAGACGAGGACTGGTAGGTTTTTTTGGTCGGTGTCAGGGACGAAAACATTTGCTATTAGAGCGTTTTCTTTTTTGGTTTTATTTACGAAGGTAAATACTGGTATGTTTGTTACAGCTTGTTGACTTATGATGGTGTCGTCTACGGCTTCCAATGGCTCTGACCATGTTGGAGCAGGAAGAGGAGCCTGAAACGAAATATTAAATTATGTACTTACGATAAATAAGTCTTATTAAGTAATGTTTACAACCTAACCTTATTTAAGTAATAAGTAAGTGTAGTCTATAAAAATTTTTTATTTTCCCAATTTTGTTTGAGAACTTCAGGAATTGCTTATTTATGTTTATAATTAATCCCGCATGACGAGATTATAAATCAGTTGAATCACTTTAGGAATCACTAACTTCTAATGTAGAGCTGTGTAGAGCTAAGTATTTATTTTTATTTTTTTATAAAAAGCTTTAAAAAGTGCAAGTGTTTTTTGCTTTGGGCAATAAAAGGTAAACATTGACATTATTTTAAGCAAAGTTTTCACATTTTAAACATTTACTTTAAGGCCTAGACAAATATTTGTTTTTTTGTTACATTGCATGTAAAGAGAAGACTCTCTTTCTTTATTGTATGTTATTAATTAGAATATAATATTATGTGTAAGTACCTTAAATTTGTCAGCTCCCGTAGGAGCTGTGGCATAGGGGATCCCGTAAAAGACGAATATGCTGTCGCCGGGGTCCTTGTAGCCCTTGACCGGGCCTTGCGGGCTGCGCACCAGGCGCGCCTCACGGTCTACGCGTTCGCTCAACGTCGACATGATATCACTACTGATACTGATTGAGCGTACACAGACGTTTTGATATATTCTGAAAATTCTTATCTATCATGTTACCGCCAGACGATAAATTCAGCTAGTTAAATGTAACGGCTGGCGAAAAAAAATCTTATTATTATGTAATGTTGAAATAATAGACGCTGATTTGCAACAAATATGCTAAGCTACTACTGGTTTTCTTTTATCGTCGGGAAATGCTTTGCGCTTACCCATTGGTCAATGGGGACGGCCAGTGGGTTATATGGGATGGGACTCTCCTCGTCGGCTAACTAAAGGCCCGCCTAAAGGCGAAAAAAGTGACTAAAGTGAGCACACAAGACATGTAGGAATTGCAACAAAGTCGTTCAACTAAATCTTTTTGTACTTCAACTGTGACACAGGATAAAAATATAGAATTTTATTAATCTACGTATAGTAATGTTATAGTAATCATGACAATTACTTTTTCAGTCGCTAGCTCTAAAAAATGATGGCCCATGCTTACTTGCTACCTAACAGTAGGTAAACTTGTTATCGACAACTCCAATCGCCGTGATTGTACCTAAAAGATATAACTTGTTTTGTGTTTGGTTTGGAAACAGGTTTTATTGTGTGAATTTATAACGAACTTTATTAATATATCGTGTACCTACTAAGCTCGATAGCTATTGTTATACTTTTAGACTACGAGGATTTTCATTATCTAGGTAAGTACCTACTTTGGTTTTCTGCCAAATTACATAATTTCGACTTTTATCCCTTAAATTAAATAACCCAATTTACCCAATCAGCAACTTTTTCATAGCTCTCTGAGTGACAACATAGTCAGTAAAGCATATTGTGATGTTCCATTTCCGACAAGCGTATACAACGTGTTAATGAAAAAGCGCAAAACCTCAGACACCCCAACTTATTTTTATTATAAAAGAATTATGTAAATTATTAAAATTAATTTTTGCGGATTATTTACGAAGATATTCACACTTTTAGTTTTCGCCCCGCGCACTTGTTATCTTTTTTTTACGCATTTCTGGAAACGTATTGACCTTTCACACGCTGATTGCAAGGCAGGCATGCACGCCTATGAGTAGGTTAGTAGTTAACGTAGATAGTTCATACACTTCTGTAAGTAACGATTAAACACGGCGTGCAGATTCTGCCATACAGAAGAAGAAACGGCCATGCATGTTCTTTGCTCATGCGGCCCGCTTATGAGCAAAAGAAGTATCCATCTCGGGCGACACATCATGCACCCGGATGAGGTAGCAGATATCACGCTCCAAAGAATCTGGAAATTTATAGATTCAACGGGACTAAGCAGTGAACTCTAAAGACAAGGGCTGCCACAATAGATCAAACCTGGTCCAGCTGGCGCAAATGAAGGCCCAAAACCAATAATAATAATAAACACGGCGTAATTAAGATATTTTTTTGGTTAAAATTTGACCCTAATTTTTTATTAGTGGAATCGATTCTACTCTCGATTCCGAACAAACTAATTAGTAATTTCAGGTTTTGCGCTTTTTCATTAACACGTTGTATTAATCGGAATTAAACAGCATTTCAATTTATAACTAACACAAAGACTATTATACAAAGTATACTATTATTACCACTGACTGATTGACATGGAGCCTAAACCGCTGGGCTGAGTCTCTACTCCAAATTTAGCACATACTGTTCCATAAAATGTCTATAGGGGTGCACTAAGAAAAGATTTTTCAAAATTTTGCCTTTATGAAAGTCAAACGGGGTTCAAAGTTTTTATGGGGAAAAAAACAAACTGAATAAACGCGTGTTTCGAGTTTTTGTATTATTTAGAATTATATGTAAATTATTTAGAATTTATCTCTTATGAGAGATGTCACACACGGGCGCTGACGTTGGCAGCGTGAAGCTGCAAATAAATTAATAATTCAACTTTAGTAAAACTGATTATCAAGGTAATAAAGTAAAACTTACTATTTTAAGTATTTTATTAAGTTATCAGTAAGTAGGTATGTACTCTGTAAAGTTTCAATAAAAAGTTTAAGTTAGTTAAAGTTTTTCCATGAAAACTTTGAACCCCAATTTATGTGTTCGTAGGGGATAAATTACGAAAAATCCTTCTCCGTGCTTTTCAGCGCAATATCCGTTCAACAATGGATTAAGCTTTGTGTTTTGTGTTGATTGATCAGTGAGTCACGGTTATCTATTAAACCGATATCGATACTAGCTTATTGTACATTTCATTTGGGTGTAGGTAAAGTAAATAATAAAACTGTTAAAATTATTTCCTATTTATTTATAGTGTTCTTTAGGTTTTTTCTTGTCTTAAATAATATTAAATTTATCTTATTTGTAAGTGTTAAAGTTCGGAACGCCTGGCAGGCGGCGGCGGCGGCGGTGCGGGCGCGCGGTAGTGGCGCTCGTAGATGGCGTCCCAGAAGCGCGCGCGCTCCTCCAGCAGCGCGCCGCGCAGCCGCAGCGTGCGCGCCAGCGACATGTGCGGCGCGCCGCCCGCGCCCACCGCCGGCCACGCGGGCAGCGCGGAGCCCGCCGGCACCGGACTCCTGGGAACAGGCAAATAATAATGTAAGTAGTTTGAATATAATACTGAAGATTGTTTAAACTGTTTGGATTTGATAATAGCTTACCCTGTTGTAATAAAGTTAAGCCATAGTTCTCTCATTACTTTCTTCATGTTTTTCAGTTCTTCAGAGATATTGCTCTCGTCACCGTTTAGCCAATTATTTTCATCTCCATCAAAAATAGCCATACTTTGAGCACCATGTGTAGCTCCTCTCACGTCTTGTGTATGGGGTACAATAGACGTGGAGTCTTCAACAAAATTGTATTCATACAAAAATACATATTTTGTCATGTCCTGCATTCACGTGCAAATTCACAGCTCTTAAAGTTGAATAAGTGAAATATAAATCTGACATAAAATTTATATAAGACAATACAGACTTTTCATCTGTACTAACTGGTTTTTTGCCAAAATAAAATTCTTTTATTTTTTGAACAACTGCTGCTTTTTCTTCTTCACTTTCAAATTGTAAGTCTTGCGGTAGAAAAGCAGAGAAATTTGCATTCATTTTATTTCTCCACAAATCAAATAAATTGATTCGCAGTAAACCCTCCATTCCAGCAAAACCGTACAGTAATGGCACTTTTCTGTAGTTTCCATTCTTTAAAATGTTGTACGGGGACTCGGTGAGGAAAGCACCTTCCGTATTACGCTCTACACATGGTGAGAACACAAAAGTGAAATCAGTTCTGTCAATAAAGGGGTCCGATGTCAACACGTCATAGCTCGCTGTGGTGTAGAACTCTTCCAAAGCGTACACGTCATCTACATTTTCCAAGCCTTTAGATCTAGTAAAGGTTTTTGCATTTTCTAGGGGGTCAATTTGAACTGAAAGAGCGGCCAAGTTAGATCCACTTTCTGGGATTACTTTATTGAACAAGCCTTTTGTAGTGGGCGAAATCATTAATAAATCAACGGATATGGAGCCGGCACTGCCACCTGCTATGGTCACATCTTCTGGGTTTCCCCCGTAGCTTGCTATATTTTCTTTAACCCAATGTAAAAGTTGTAATTGATCTTTCATTCCAGCATTTCCTGGTGCCTTTTCAGTGCCTAAACAAAGAAATCCGTGTATTCCGAGACGATAGTTAAATGTTACTACAATGACTTTTTTGCTTCTTACCAAGCTTTTGGGGGTTACCATACTACCAAAGCCAATTTGAAATGCTCCTCCGTGCACATATACCACGACTGGTAGTTGTTTTTGGTCGGTGTCAGGAACGTAAACATTTGCAATGAGACAGTTTTCTTGTTTGGTCTTATTTGGGAAGTTAAGAAAATTAATTGTAGCTTGATGACATATTATGGTATTGTCTACGGCTTCCAATGGCTCTAACCATGTTGGGGCAGGAAGAGGCGCCTGAAACAAAATAAGATATTATAAGGANATTAAGGACAGAATTTATTATAATGACTACACTACCTATGTGAAATAGTATTCTTAGCGAATATTTTGAAAATGATTTAATTAAGGTAATTTTAATGCGTGAGTAATTTTTCAAAATTTTATATTTGAAAATTTAAAAAGTACAATGGTTTGGGCAAGTAAATAACTTGTTTCAAATATTTAAGTAACTACCTATGTGTACCTACCTAATGAGGATCATTTCGATTTTTAGCTGTGAATGCAGATTTATAGGGCTAAGAAATCCTTAATACACAGTGCAAAAATTTTTGTTCTACGACAAAAATTGACGAAGTTACGGCCAAATTACTAAAAAAGTTCACTGACCGCCCGGCGCGGGGACGATGACGTCATTATATCCGATCCGAACGCTGCCGGCGTACTGCGTGGATAGAAAATATTTTTTTCTAGCCAAATTATCAGTTTTAGAGAAAAACTTNCTAGTAAATATAACTATTTTCACGGAGTCCGGCGCAAAGCCGGCTATTCTGTCCGGCGGCACTACAATATACTAATTATTAAAAGTTTTTTTCTATAACTGATAGTTTAGCCGGAAAAAAATATTTTCCATCCCATTAGTACGCCGGCTGCGCTCGATTCGGATATAATGACGTCACGCGGCCTTGCGTACGTTGACTTTTAGCGGCAAAAACGGCCTATGTTTATTACTTAATATCTTCGTAAGTAATGGTCCGATTTGGATAATTCAAAAAGATATATCTTTCTTATGTCTTAAAGATTAATGTAGATACTAGTTTTATTGAATTTTCTACAACAGTACTGATCCTCATTGGGTAATTTCAAAGAAGGCATGTTTATAATTTACCTTAAATCTGTCAGCTCCCGTAGGAGCTGTGGCATAGGGGATCCCGTAAAAGACGAATATGCTGTCGCCGGGGTCCTTGTAGCCCTTGACCGGGCCTTGCGGGCTGCGCACCAGGCGCGCCTCGCGCTCGCCGCCCTCGACCCGCGCGCCCAGACACAGGCACAAACACAGCACCAGACCGCTCCACATGATGACCCCACATACACTGAATAAGCTTATACGGAACGTTGTTATTTTTATTTATCTTGTATGTACCTTATCAATCGCGTTACCGTTAGATGATAGAGTAAGCAAGTTAGTGGAACGGCTGGCAGAGGTCTGTGCCTGTAAACAAAGTACCTAACATGAAAATGTGTGTCGATTTCATTCCGTTATAAACACGTCTTTAGTACTTTATAGTTTCTTAACAAAACACACCAACAATTATCTCAGATGAGTCGAAAAATTAAGAATAAAACATAGACCTCAAATAGTATGTTACAGGTTTTAAAAGACTGCATTATTTATTTGTTTAATTAACACATGTCAGCTAGCCGTTCCACTAAACCTCTTATTTAGTACTTTAACTGCGACCGTGTAGTAGGTCCTGTACTCGTAATCATGACTATTGCTTTTAAGTCTCAAAACTCGATAGCTCTAATCTCCATATCAAAATAAATACTTCAAGTCATAATATTGAAATATTATCTTGTGGATTCCCGCGTGGACTTTGGTCGGATTAAGGAAAGTCAAAAAGCACGCTCTTCATCCGTTTCACCTCCTTCGAGCTTCTACTTTCACGGCAAAAAGTATGTAGCCCTTGTATTTCTCTAACGCCCATTCTCTACTTAAGATTATTTGGTTATTTGTCACAGTACCTCAGTACATTATCTACACTATAATATTATAAAGAGGAAAACTTTGTTTGTTCGGTTGTAATGAATAGGCTCAAAAACTACTGGATCGTTTTAAAACATTATTTGACCATTTGAACGCTACATTATCCACGAGTAACATAGGTTAAATTTTATTTTGGATAATGAAGTCCACGCGCGCGAAGCTGCGGGCGGAAAGCTAGTCTACACTAATATTATAAAGAGGAAAACTTTGTATTTAATATCTTTAAGGGCCAGCGCGAACCCAGTCTGTCGTCGCTCCATACTGTATACCTTTTATGCAACATTATTAAAATTAAGTACGGAGGTAAGACTTGTACACCGGTAGGTAATCCGGTAAACCGGGTACAGTTAAATACGGGTAGTAGGTATTTAACTGTACACAAATGTTAGCTTTGTAAAGAATAAAACTACATTAATTGTAGTAAAAGAATAATCATTTATTTTATATTATGAGAATAGGACAGCATTTGCGTATTATTTTTCAGGGGGGGGGGGGCTGGCCCCTGGCATGCCATATCACAGGGTGCCCAACATCCATCAGAGCTCACAATTTTAGAAAAATTATAATTATGTTTTAAAGTTCGGAACGCCTGGCAGGCGGCGGCGGCGGCGGCGCGGGCGCGCGGTAGTGGCGCTCGTAGATGGCGTCCCAGAAGCGCGCGCGCTCCTCCAGCAGCGCGCCGCGCAGCCGCAGCGTGCGCGCCAGCGACATGTGCGGCGCGCCGCCCGCGCCCGCCGCCGGCCACGCGGGCAGCGCGGAGCCCGCCGGCACCGGACTCCTGGGAACAAAGTTTAAATAAAATCTTTCTATTCTGATTAGACTGGTGCGTGTGAAATTCAATTAACGCCCGTATTCATAAACGATGCTTGCTTAAGTGAAGCAGCAAATCGAATGTTGNTAACGACAGACAACTACGGAATTTTTAGTTTAATTTGATTAGACTGTTTAGAATAAATTGTCATTATCATCATAAAAAAATATTTTTTTTACTTCAATAACCCAGTTTTCTGGCAATTTTACTCTATTTCTTGCGGGAAAAATTACGTGATATTTTCCGAGACCCCCCCTCTCCCCCACGTGAGATTTAGTGAGGTTTTCGTTGACCCCCTCCCCCCCCTAAAAGTCTCACGTAATTTATGGACGCCCCCTAAGTAAATACAATAACATAATGTACATGTGCTGAAAAGTCACAACTACATAGTTGTATAATCTATTGTAAAGAGAACTTACCCCGTCATCATAAAGTTAAGCCATAGTTCACGCATTAGTTTTTTCATAGTTCTTAGTTCGTCAGAGATATTGCTCTCGTCTTCGGAAGGCACATCAATATTACTTCCATCAAGTACAGCGCTGGTTTGAGCACAATGTGTAGCTCCTCTCACGTCTTGTGTATGGGGTACAATAGGCGTAGAGTCTTCAACAAAATTGTATTCATACAAGAATATTTTGTCATGTCCTGCATTCACGTGCAAATTCACAGCTCTTAAAGTTGAATAAGTGAAATATAAATCAGACATAAAATTTATATAAGACAATACAGATTCTTCATCTGCACGAACTGGTTTTTTGCCAAAATAAAACTCTTTGATTTTTTTAACAACTGCTGCTTTTTCTTCTTCACTTTCAAATTGTAAGTCTTGCGGTATAAAAGCAGAGAAGTCCGCGTTCATTTTATCCTTCCACGTTTCAAATAGATTTAATCTGAATATGCCCTCCATTCCGGCAAAACCTAACAAAACTGGCACTTTTCTATAGTTGCCGTTCTTTAAAATGTTGTATGGAGATTCAGTGAGGAAAGCACCTTCTGTGTTACGTTCTATACATGGTGAGAACACGAACGTAAAGTCAGTTCTGTCCATAAAAGGGTCTGATGTTAGCACATCATAGCTTGCTGTAGTGTAGAACTCTTCCAAAGCGTACACGTCAACTACATTTTCAAAACCATTCGATTTTGCAAAGATTTTTGCATTTTCAAGTGGGTCTACTTGAACTGACCAAGGGGCTAAGTTTGATCCACTGTCAGAAATAACTTTGTTAAATAACTCTCTGGTAATCGGCGAAATCATTAACAAATCGACGGCTGAAGAGCCTGCACTGTACCCTGCAAGGGTGACATCTTCTGGGTTTCCCCCATAACTTGCTATATTTCTTTTGACCCAATGTAAAAGTTGTACTTGATCTTTCATTCCAGCATTTCCTGGTACTTTTTCAGTGCCTAAACAAAGAAATCCGTGAACTCCGAGGCGATAGTTGAATGTTACTACGATAACTCTCTTGCTTCTTGCTAAGTTTTTGGGTGTGTACAGATTTCCAAACCCAACTTGGTATGCTCCTCCATGCACGTAGACTACCACTGGTAGTTTCTTTTGGTTGGTATCTGGCACAAAAACGTTTGCAATAAGACAGTTTTCCTGTTTGGTCTTATTTTCGAAGGCAACATGATGAAGTTCAGTTTGAGGACATACTATGTTGTCGTCAACAGCTTCCAAAGGTTCTAACCACGTTGAAGCAGGAAGTGGAGCCTGAAACGAAATAATAGACGAGTTAGTATTGCATAACTATGCGAAGATTTTTTAACATACACTTTTATAGGAAAAAAGCCCTTGACTATTTAAATTATGATGGTGATATCAATGATTGATTTTTTAGTATGGCCTACTTAATCGTCGTTAAAAAAAAATCAAAGACTAGCTTAATAGGTTCTAAGTTAATTGCTCCTGAGAAATTAAATGATTGCAAAGGTACACAGTACACAGGTTACATATTAATAAATGTATTAATCCAATATTTAATTGATATCTTACACATTTAAAAAGCAGTGCCCAGGAAGTGGAATGCAAAATGTTACAAGGAAAAGTGATTACAAAATTTGCGTTCAGCTGACGTGTGAATCATACCATCATACCTTGAACTTATCAGCTCCCGTAGGCGCTGTGGCATACGGGATCCCGTAAAAGACGAATATGCTGTCGCCGGGGTCCTTGTAGCCCTTGACCGGGCCTTGCGGGCTGCGCACCAGGCGCGCCTCGCGCTCGCCGCGCTCGCCCCGCGCGCCCAGACACAGGCACAAACAAAGAACTAGCTCCACACTCCTCATGTTGACGCGTCACGCGACTGCAACACAAGCGTACATCGAACACTATGATATATTCCTCGTATCTTATCTGTATGTTCCAGCTAGTTCATAAAATAAGAGTTTATCGATGCTCTAGTGATAATTAATATTGTGCACTTTAATAGAGTAGCAAATGAAGTCGTATCTTCGAATAAAAATAATAATAGCCTATGTTCATCAGAAAAAAAATAGGGAACTAATTAATGGTGAGATAAAAAACAGCCCAGTAGTTTCGGAGCATATTCACCACAAACATACAAAAATATAAAAAATACAAATCTTGAAATTCCATTGTCCACCGTGTCTCTTGTTAAACACTCGACGTAGGCAAAACGAGTGTGCTTCAAATACGCACCATTGAAGCTATTTAACAGAATAACAAAATAATAAAAATACAAAATATGATTCCTGTTTATAATATTAGTATAGAAATACTAACTAATAGAATAAAAGCCGAATCGAACAAATTTTCCTGTGTGCTGCTAGATGTTCCAGTAATTGACAAATAAAGAATTCCGACTGCGACGGATTCAACACATTGTTGAGGTGACCTCGACGATTATATTTAGACACGTTAGCCAGTCGTCAGGCTACCTTTTTATTGAGCAGTTGTTTGTAATGTTTAGAGAAAAAACAACAATTATGTACCTGTTTAACTCTTCGCTCTTTTGAACTATTGTACGAAAGTCGATGGAAGTAGAGGTAGATAGGTGTGTAGTTTTATATTATTTTAATGATGATGATTTACTTTCTTAGCATGCTTCGTAACGCAGATAGAGTCAATAAAAATACTTTCCATAGAACTCAACCTTCAATATGTTTATTGCGTTTTTGCAGCGTTGTGTGTAATAAATAAATAGCATTATTATACTGATTGCTCCTTAAAAATAAAATAAAGCAATGTGGAATTAATATTAATAAAAAAAGACTACAAGTTCAAACTTAGGAGCAAACAAATTCCAGTGGAGCCGAGTCGGCAACCTAGACAATAATCTAATCTACGAAGATATTATAATAGCTACGAATAACAAAACAAACGTACCTACTAGTTATAGCAATTAGATTTGATTACAGTATTATAAACCTGCCTATTCGATAACATAACAAACATTGATCGATAATGATTCTACTAGTGGATGCTAGTGATTGACACGATGCGCTTAGTGTCGGTTGTGTGCTTCGCGGCATGCTGTGTTGTTTTCTCGCAATGTGAGCAACGAGCCGAACGAGTTGTGCGCATATCCCAGGGTCCGGTCCGAGGATACAAAGACCCAGAACATGACTTATTCGAATTCTATGGCATACCTTATGCAACAGCTCCTACTGGACCCAACAAGTTTAAGGTAGGTAAATCACCTTTCCTGGAACCTTGAATAAAACAAATTATCTCAAGATAGTCGTCGCTCAGTCGACGGAACATCGGATGCCTTTTTGGACTTATTTTTAGAATATTCACAGCGTTAAGATGAATGTGCTATTGTTCATATAATCAAAACAGAGCCCCGATTACGGTAATTTTTAACGTCAACAATCCAGACACGCTTCTCGATTCTGCGATACGATTGGTCGTTCAACAGCGTACGTCAGCTGTTGTGACCAATCGTATCGCAGAATCAGAAACGCGTCTGGATTGTAAACGTTATAAAAGTTACCGTAATCGGGGCTCAGTTTAGACACTTGAAAGATAATGATAATGTAGCTATTACAGTTATCAAATCCCTGTTACCTACTTATGTAGATACAAGCAAAACAAACAACGGAACGGAACTAAAGAAACTATGGGATAAACATTTAATTTTGGTATTTCTGTATGCTGTAGTGTTATTGTTTAATTAAGATTAATTGGTTGGTATAATTGAACAAACGTTTATTTCCTGTGTGTTTTCAGGCTCCATTGCCCGCACCGGCATGGTTGAGTACTTTTGAAGCTGTGAATAAAGATTTGATTTGCCCGCAAGTTTTATTCCCTGATGCTATGGGACAAGATATTATGATAATTCAAGAAAATTGCTTGATTGCAAATGTATTTGTACCAGATACAGCTGAAACTAACCTACCAGTAGTAGTGTATGTCCATGGGGGAGCTTACCAAATGGGATATGGCAACTTTTTCATGACAAAAAAGTTAGTTCAACAAAGTAAAAAAATAATTTCGGTTACTTTTAACTATCGTCTCGGCATCCCTGGCTTCTTATGCCTTGGAACCAATGACATTCCAGGAAATGCTGGTATGAAGGACCAGGTAGCGTTGCTGCGTTGGGTAAAAAAAAACATTGCTAGTTTTGGTGGAAATCCTGATGACGTCACTATTGCTGGGTATAGCGCTGGTTCTTCTTCTGTGGATCTTTTGATGCTGTCTCCATTGACGAAAGGATTGTTTAATAAAGTCATACCAGAGAGTGGTGCCAATCTTGCCGCATTTTGTGTACAAACTGACCCTGTAAAGAAAGCGAGAGAGTATGCAAGTAGGTTCAATGTGACTAATCTAGATGATATTTATGAATTAGAACTTTTTTACAAGAATGCTCCCTTAGATGACTTATTCACTGATAGTTTTATTTTGTCTGGCAAAGATAATACGTTTGGATTTTCACCTTGCGTTGAAAGAAAAACCAGTGAAGAATCGTTCCTTGAGGAATCACCATTTGCCATTTTGGACAGTGGCAATTATGAAAAAGTTCCTGTATTATATGGATTTTCCAATATGGAGGGCTTAATAAGAATTGTACTTTTCGATACCTGGAAGGAAAATATGAATGAAAAGTTTTCAGACTTTTTGCCTGCTGATTTACAATTCACAAGTGACGAGGAACGAGAAAGCGTTGCCAGAAAAGCAAAAGAATTTTATTTTGGGGATAAAGCAGTAAGTAGCGAGACAGTATTGGGATATATTGACTACTTTACTGATGTTCTATTTGCGTATGCTACTCTTCGAGCTGTTAAGCTACACGTTAAAGCTGGCAACGATAAGATATATCTATATGAATACTCATTTACTGACGACGAAGACCCGAATTTCGTAGTTCCTTACACAAATAACGTACGAGGCGCAAATCATTGTGCTCAAAGTACAGCAGTACTCGATGTCAACCTCGTTTTTAGCAGAAGCGAGGATAACATTACAGAAGAATATAAAAACAATAGAGCTACAATGAGGGAGTTGTGGACTAACTTCATCATTACAGGGTAAGTTCATTGCATTCATTTTCTCTTTATGATAATATTTTTATCGATTTTACTTTAATTTGAAACCTAACTTTAAAATTTTTGTCAGGGAGTATTATTAGCTGATTTTCGATAGATCTTCTTTCAAATTGGCACTTAAACAGCAAAGAATATTTTTATCCTCACACGTTTAGTATCCATCCAGTGAATTCACGTCAAAAGATCAGTGCCAGAATGGCTCATTCGAGTATTTGTCAGAGAAAATTCAGCAGTAACATTATCATAATAAAATTTGTTTGTTCCCAGGAGTCCAGTGCCGGCGGGCTCCGCGCTGCCCGCGTGGCCGGCGGCGGGCGCGGGCGGCGCGCCGCACATGTCGCTGGCGCGCACGCTGCGGCTGCGCGGCGCGCTGCTGGAGGAGCGCGCGCGCTTCTGGGACGCCATCTACGAGCGCCACTACCGCGCGCCCGCGCCGCCGCCGCCGCCGCCGCCTGCTAGGCATTCCGAGCTTTAAAATATAATAAAATTAATGTATATTTAAGATAATAAAGAAAAAAACAAAATTGCAGAAAACTATTTTATCAATGTCAATTAATAACAGTTTGTAATTTTTAACATACCTAAACGAAATGTCTAAAAAAGCAAAGCACCTGTCTAAAAGGCAAGCTGTGTTATAAATATAAATTCTTCATTCAACACACTGAACCAGTTTGCGCTATAAGTATAGCTGTTAAAAAGGGGCGAACTTTTTTTTATAAAATTATACTTCTTCTTCCTCGGTCCCTCATTGATGAGGATTGCTACCACCTACTTATAGTGTTCCTGCATAGACTGCGGTTATAAGCAGTGTGGACCGCATAAAATTATACAGGAGAGAAAAAAACGACATATTATAGTGCCTGAAGAATGGAGCATTTCTGTATGACAACTAAATTTTTGACCGCTTGTCTATGATGTTCGCTTATGCGACGTAGGCGACGAAGTATTGCGAATTGTAGGCATTCGCTAAGATGTTTTTTTTTTATTTTTTTTAAATTTACCCCCTCATTTAAGCAAAATAAGTACCTATTAATACTTAATGTAGTACTTCTGTACTTTCTTTAAGTAGGTAAAAAATAATAAGTCTCGGGCTTCTTTCAAAATTTAACTTCGTGAGTAGTGTAGCTGAGGTATTGATTTAAATGAATAATTTTGAAACAACTTGTTTCCCTAGTTAAGTCTAGTTTTCACGACTAGGTTTTAACTGTTACCTAATTATGAATAGGCTCCGAAACTACTGAAGCGATTTGACAAATTCTTTTACCGTTAACATCCTACAATACCCGATGAACATAGGATAGATTTTTTTCAAAAAGTTAGGGATTCGTATGAAAGCCATTTTATTGACATTAATAATTGACACATTATGTCACACATTAATAGACTGGGCGTTATGAAGTTTTCACAAAAATAAAGCTTGCAAGGAGAGAAAAGAGTTATGACGTGGGCACGTGCCTTTGAGTAAATATCAAATCGAAATCCACGCGAGTAAACCCGTGGGTAAAAGCTAACTAACTAACATGTCTAATCATAAATGTCTAATGTGATCACGGTGATTGGTGCTGTCGATGATAAGATTGTTGCTATATTACTCGGCCAAATAAGCGTAGGTCATCATAACCCATCAAAAACAATACTTGTCAAAAAAACCAAGTCTCGCAACTCAGTTGTTCTACGGTAAAAAGTTGTGAGATCCATGTAATACCAAGTCCAGGCCAGGAAATCTTTAACGTTTTACATAAATATATTGACTTGGCCATCGCACTAAATAATTTAATTTACACGTGTTTTCATGCGATGGCCAAGTCAATATTTTATGTAAAACGTTAAAGATTTCCTGGCCTGGACTTGGTATTACATGGATCTCACAACTTTTTACCGTAGAACAACTGAGTTGCGAGACTTGGTTTTTTTGACAAGTATTGTTTTTGATGGGATCTCATTTCTTTTTGTATTTTGTAGACAGCAGTTATGTATCTATTAGCAAGAAGCAAGAAAGTCATCATAGTAACATTCAACTATCGCCTCGGAGTTCACGGATTTCTTTGTTTAGGCACTGAAAAGGTTCCAGGAAATGCTGGAATGAAAGATCAAGTAGCACTTTTACATTGGGTCAAAAAGAATATAGCAAGCTATGGGGGAAACCCAGAAGATGTGACCATCGCAGGCTACAGTGCCGGCTCCATATCCGTGGATTTATTAATGATTTCTCCCACTACAAAGGGCTTGTTCAATAAAGTAATCCCAGAAAGTGGATCTAACTTGGCCACACTTTCAGTTCAAATTGACCCCCTAGAAAATGCAAAAACCTTTGCTAGATCTAACGGCTTGGAAAATGTAGATGACGTGTACGCTTTGGAAGAGTTCTACACCACAGCGAGCTATGAAGTATTAACATCAGACCCCTTTTATTACAGAACTGATTTCACGTTTTTGTTTTCACCATGTGTAGAGCGTAAAACAGAAGGCGCTTTCCTTACAGAGTCTCCATACAATATTTTAAAGAATGGCAACTATAGAAAAGTGCCGTTACTGATGGGTTTTGCTGGAATGGAAGGTATATTTCGAGTCGATATATTTGATTCTTGGAAAGATAAAATGAATGCGAACTTCTCTGCTTTTCTACCACAAGACTTACAATTTGAAAGTGAAGAAGACAAAGCAACAGTGGCTCAAAAAATCAAAGAATTTTACTTTGGTAAAAAACCAATTAATGCAGATGAAGAATCTGTATTATCTTACATAAATTTTATGTCAGATTTATACTTCACATATTCTACTTTAAGAGCTGTGAACATGCACGTGAAAGCAGGACATGACAAGATATATTTGTATGAATATAATTTTGTAGAAGATTCTACGCCTATCATACCCTACACCAAGGACAAGCGAGGAGCCGACCATTGTGCTCAAACTAGCGCTATATTTGACGCACCTAATTGGCTATGTGAGAAAGACGAAAGCAGCATCTCTGAGGATCTGAAAAACATGAAGAAAGTCATTAGAGAGCTATGGCTTAACTTTATGACAACGGGGTAAGCTTCTCAATTGAAATCCTACAAAATTGCTACTAACCTTTTCAAAAAATATTGTAATATAGGTAGGTACTCGTAGTTTTTCAATAGGTAAACTGATAATAAATCTTACTGATTAAGTTATCACGAAGTCTTGATGAAATTCAACTAGGAGTAAGTATTCATTATTTTTTCTGCATTTTAATTAGTTTTATCGGTATAAGTAGGTAAAATAGGTAATCCATAAGATCAGTTAAATATTAAAANATAAAATGAATGCGAACTTCTCTGCTTTTCTACCACAAGACTTACAATTTGAAAGTGAAGAAGACAAAGCAACAGTGGCTCAAAAAATCAAAGAATTTTACTTTGGTAAAAAACCAATTAATGCAGATGAAGAATCTGTATTATCTTACATAAATTTTATGTCAGATTTATACTTCACATATTCTACTTTAAGAGCTGTGAACATGCACGTGAAAGCAGGACATGACAAGATATATTTGTATGAATATAATTTTGTAGAAGATTCTACGCCTGTCATACCCTACACCAAGGACAAGCGAGGAGCCGACCATTGTGCTCAAACTAGCGCTATATTTGACGCACCTAATTGGCTATGTGAGAAAGACGAAAGCAGCATCTCTGAGGATCTGAAAAACATGAAGAAAGTCATTAGAGAGCTATGGCTTAACTTTATGACAACGGGGTAAGCTTCTCAATTGAAATCCTACAAAATTGCTACTAACCTTTTCAAAAAATATTGTAATATAGGTAGGTACTCGTAGTTTTTCAATAGGTAAACTGATAATAAATCTTACTGATTAAGTTATCACGAAGTCTTGATGAAATTCAACTAGGAGTAAGTATTCATTATGTTTTTTTGCATTTTAATTAGTTTTATCGGTATAAGTAGGTAAAATAGGTAATCCACAAGTTTAGTTAAATATTAAAACCGATGATGCTCCATCATATTGAACAGAGCTTCAGCGGCTAAAAACACCTGGTAAAATGAGTTGCTCCAGTGCACATAATAATTTAATAATTTTGTTCCCAGGAGTCCGGTGCCGGCGGGCTCCGCGCTGCCCGCGTGGCCGGCGGCGGGCGCGGGCGGCGCGCCGCACATGTCGCTGGCGCGCACGCTGCGGCTGCGCGGCGCGCTGCTGGAGGAGCGCGCGCGCTTCTGGGACGCCATCTACGAGCGCCACTACCGCGCGCCCGCGCCGCCGCCGCCGCCGCCGCCGCCGCCGCCTGCTAGACATTCCGAGCTTTAAAACTTAATAAAATAAAAATTTTATTTAAGATATTATAGAAAAAACCAAAATATTTTGGTTTTTCAAAAACATTTTTTTAAACTATTTAATTACCAATATCAATTACCTAATCTCAGTTTAGTTTATATTCATTTACCATATCTAAGTGAAATGTCCAAGAAAGCAAATATCAACACCTGTATAAAAGGCAACCAGTGTTATTATAAAGTTATACTCAGAATATGAAACGGGGCCTAAAATAATATGCATGTAAGCAAAATGCTGCGAAATAAGTAGGTATTCTAACATTTAGCACTTCTGTCAAGTTTTGTTTAAATAAAAGTAAGGCTTCATTTTAAGGAAAAGACAATGAATAAAATATTGAAATTTAGCATAGTCATGACTCATGGTATGAACAAAGATCAACACTAATACATATAGAGAGGACGTAGGTATTTTATTGTTCGATTGTTTGGCTCCGAAAGACTTGTCCGATCTGAAAAATTATTTCACCATTATTATAATCTTACAATGCCCCTGATGAACAAAAAAGAGCGTTACTTAGTTATGTATGTCACTACGAGATACCAGACATCAATACCAATAAACGTAACCGAGCAATAGTGAAATTTAAACTATGAAAAATCTAAGTACAAGAACAAGCACATCTAAGTATCAAGCACAGAACTAAAACGCAAACTCACTCCGCATTTAGTGGCCAGCCGATACACTATCTTACTTTATCGTCTAGCGGCGACATGATGAATAAAATACAACGATAATATAATGATCGCGTTCTGTGTACGCTTGATCAGTTCGGTATCTGTAGTGACAGCATGCGGAGCGGTCTGGTGCTGTGTTTGTGCCTGTGTCTGGGCGCGCGGGGCGAGGGTGGCGAGCGCGAGGCGCGCCTGGTGCGCAGCCCGCAAGGCCCGGTCAAGGGCTACAAGGACCCCGGCGACAGCATATTCGTCTTTTACGGGATCCCCTATGCTACAGCGCCTACGGGAGCTGACAGATTTAAGGTATCTATCTACTTACAATATTCAACTCAACGCCTAGTTACATCCTTGACAGATATTAATTGTAATGAAAATACAAAAATAATTTTAGTCAAGTGTTTAGTAGTTAATAAGTTTACGAGTGGAAAACATTTTAAAAAATCCTAAACCCTAGATCTTTGTGCAGTTGCCGACTAATGATAGTGTGATAATCTGTCTAGACAATTCTTTATTACAGTTTGAAAATATAATAATTTTACATGAGATGAGCAGCTGCTTATTTTAACAATTGATAAATGTTTATCATCTAGTGTCATTTTATTTATTTGATATCTATAATTGATACACCTTTTTGAAGTACAATATTGCGTAAACAAGTGGTTGTTTGTAAAGGTAAAATAATTCAGTAAATTGAATGATTTATTGGTTTAAAGCAGGAAAAGATTCTAAATAACCTTAGTAGAGAAATCAGTAGCCCGTACACAACAACATAGTAAATGTCTTGTGTTATCGTCATGCGATAGATATGAAATGTAATTAAAGAAATTATAACATCTAAAGTAAAATAATCGAAGTAATATTATTTAACATAATTACCTATACAGTGTAGTACCAGTACCTTACACGTGCATTATATTATTTGTTACAGGCGCCTCTTCCTGCCTCAGCATGGTTAGACCCTTTGGAAGCCGTAGATGATACTATTATATGTCATCAAGCCACGCTTAATAATACTACGAGTATGTTCCCAAATAAGATCGAAAAAGAGAACTGTCTCGTGGCAAATGTTTTCGTCCCTGACACCGACCAAAAAAAACTACCAGTTGTGGTATATGTGCACGGAGGAGCATACCAACTCGGCTTTGGAAATCTGTTTCTACCCAAAAACTTAGCAAGAAGCAAGAAAGTCATTGTAGTAACATTCAACTATCGCCTCGGAGTTCACGGATTTCTTTGTTTAGGCACTGAAAAGGCACCAGGAAATGCTGGAATGAAAGATCAAGTAGCACTTTTACATTGGGTCAAAAAGAATATAGCAAGCTACGGGGGAAACCCAGAAGATATGACCATAGCAGGCTACAGTGCCGGCTCTTCAGCCGTCGATCTGTTAATGATTTCGCCCACTACAAGAGACTTATTCAATAAAGTAATTCCAGAAAGTGGATCTAACTTAGCCCCTTGGTCAGTTCAAATTGACCCCCTAGAAAATGCAAAAACCTTTGCTAGATCCATAGGCTTTGAAAATGTAGATGACGTGTACGCTTTGGAAGAGTTCTACACTACAGCGAGCTATGACGTGTTGACATCGGACCCCTTTTTTGACAGAACTGATTTTACTTTTGTGTTCTCACCATGTATAGAGCGTAATACGGAAGGTGCTTTCCTCACTGAGTCCCCATACAACATTTTAAAGAATGGCAACTATAGAAAAGTGCCATTACTTTACGGTTTTGCTGGAATGGAGGGTTTACTGCGAATTGATTTATTTGATTTGTGGAAAGATAAAATGAATGCGAATTTCTCTGCTTTTCTACCACAAGACTTACAATTTGAAAGTGAAGAAGAAAAAGCAACAGTGGTCCAAAAAATCAAGGAATTTTATTTCGGTAAAAAACCAGTCATTGGAGATGAAGAATCTGTATTATCTTACATAAATTTTATGTCAGATTTATATTTCACATATTCTACTTTAAGAGCTGTGAACATGCACGTAAAAGCAGGACATGACAAGATATTTTTGTATGAATACAATTTTGTTGAAGATTCTACGCCTGTCATACCCTATACCAAGGACCAGCGAGGAGCCAACCATTGTGCTCAAACTAGTGCTGTATTTGACGCACCTAATTGGCTAAGTCAGAAAGACGAGAGCAGTATCTCAGAGGATCTGAAAAACATGAAGAAAGTAATTAGAGAACTATGGCTTAACTTTATGACAACGGGGTAAGCTATCCTCAATTGAATTCCAAATTAACGCTCAGTATTTACTTAAACTACATAATTATTTTGCCTGTTCCCAGGAGTCCGGTGCNTAACAAAAGGCTTATTTAATAAAGTAATTCCAGAAAGTGGATCTAACTTGGCCAATTTTTCAGTTCAAGTTGATCCCCTAGAAAATGCAAAAACCTTTGCTAGATCCAAAGGCTTTGAAAACGTAAATGACGTGTACGTTTTGGAAGAGTTCTACACCACAGCGAGTTATGACGTGTTGACATCGGACCCCTTTCTTGACAGAACTGACTTCACTTTTGTGTTCTCACCATGTGTAGAGCGTAATACGGAAGGTGCTTTCCTTACTGAGTCCCCGTACAATATTTTAAAGAATGAAAACTATAGGAAAGTGCCATTACTGTACGGTTTTACTGGAATGGAGGGTTTAATGAAAATCCATTCATTTAACTTTTTGAAAGATAAAATGAATGAGAACTTCTCTGCTTTTCTACCGCAAGATTTACAGTTTAAAAGTGAAGATGAAAAAGCAGCAGTCATCAAAAAAATCAAAGAGTTTTATTTCGGTAATAAACCAGTCAGTGCAGATGAAGAATCGGTGTTGTCATACGTAGATTTTATCTCAGATTTATTTTTTACGTACCCTACTTTAAGAGCTGTGAACATGCACGTGAAAGCAGGACACGATGAAATATTTTTGTATGAATACAGTTTTGTGGAAGACTCTACGCCTATTGTAGCCTATACCAAGAACGTGCGAGGAGCAACTCATGGTGCTCAAAGCAAGGCTGTATTTGATGGAGAAGAAAATAATTGGCAAAGCAGTGACGAGAGCAATATCTCTGAAGAACTGAAAAACATGAAGAAAGTCATGAGAGAACTATGGCTCAACTTTATTACAACGGGGTAAGCTATCCTCAATTGAATTCCAAACATTTTAACGCTCAGTATTTAGGCTTAAACTACATAATTATTTTGCCTGTTCCCAGGAGTCCGGTGCCGGCGGGCTCCGCGCTGCCCGCGTGGCCGGCGGCGGGCGCGGGCGGCGCGCCGCACATGTCGCTGGCGCGCACGCTGCGGCTGCGCGGCGCGCTGCTGGAGGAGCGCGCGCGCTTCTGGGACGCCATCTACGAGCGCCACTACCGCGCGCCCGCGCCGCCGCCGCCGCCTCCTGCTAGGCATTCCGAACTTTAATTTGCTATGCTGTTTTTTTTTTATTTAAATTAACTTTATCAGACTTTACCTAAAACAGCACCACTTCCTGTCAGTGCTGCCATGACCTCGGCAAATGTATAGTTAATGCTCGACTGGCAGGATTTCTTCTTTGATTATATGTATTTAAATTTTTAGACGAGACATTTATTTTTTAACTTTCCTTGGATTTACATCCATACGACCGACATGTCAGTAGTTTTTGCACCAGAAAAAAAGCTTTCGCTAAAGCTTTCCTGGTTTTCACTGCAGTAACAGTTCCGATTTTTTTAAAACTTTACTTACTTATTTAGCGATGAAATCTCAATCGAGCGTGTGCAAATTAGGCAATGATCTGTAAAATTACTTTTAAACTTGCCACTTTTCAATTGCAGTGGAATAAACATTTTAACATTAAAAAAATATATTAAGTTAGTTTATAAGCCCAATTTATGAGTACACCAACAACATTGCATGTAACACTAAGTTTGGAAAACATCAGTTTGGTTTATGATCAGCGACAGTGCGAGAAGTAAGATAGAATGCCAGTTTAAGGTGCGAGGCTAAAACTTACGGTCAACATTTTTGTAGCAAATGAAAAAGCACATTAAGTAGGTACTTATTTTTAATAGCAAATGTGCTTATTAAGTACATAGAGATGATTCTATAATTTTCGTTTATGTTATTATGAAAATTTCGACCTTTCTTAAGCATTTGATGCGTCAATTTCGGTCAAGTTTTTCCTCTGGGACTTAAAGGACGAGTCAAGGACTTACCACGGAGTCACGTAAAAAATCAACGAGTATTCGACACGAGGCTTTTTCACGAAAAATCGTCCTCGAGAGATGCGACCCTCATCAAGGTGCGAAGGTCCTCGGGGAGTGATTATACTTAGAAGTAAGTAGAAACAATAAATATAAGAACACTTCCCACTAATATTTTGGTTTTATTATTGCACACGGTTCAACGGTCAGCGTTAAAACCGGCAAGTGCGAGTCGGAGTCACCAGTTTTGAATACCAGTACTATTTTTTTGTCTATGTTTCTTGTACGGGGGTAGGAGCCGGTATTATTTTTAGTTATTTATAGCAGCAACAGAAATCACTGCAAATTCTATAAAGATACATTGGTTTCAGCATATAGGGTGAGTGCACAACCAGCCTTTTATAAGTTAAAGTTATTTAGATGTAAGCAATTATCAACGGCACAAGTGGAAATGATCATTTTATTATCCCCATAATACCATACCATTCTCTACAGTTTGCTCTGCTGTAGAGACCGCTGTATTGTGTACGGGTACATAATAGATAAATGATATTTAATATGCCTCTACCGCCGCCCCGTCACCGGGCCTGACGTCCTGTCATAAGAATAGAGCTCCATAGACCGCTAATATCATAGAAATCACACTGATCGTAGATGCTCTTTAATGTTTTTGAAGAAAAACTAGAAATGTTTGAGTAGGTATAACTGCTATATTTTATTAATTAACTATAGAACAAACTACGAATACGAATTTAGCAAAACTTTTGTGGCGTATTTGTATATAGTACTCATAAAGGTACCCTAAATAAATAACCATGTAACTGCAACGTCAAATCAAAATCTGCTGTAGAGACTACAGTCAGCCTCAAATAGTTTGTAATACCCAAACTAGCCAATAACTTTGCAACACGTCTTTGTTACAATAAGACAACACATAGATCTATGTTATAAACTTTTTGGCCACTTTGGGTGTCACGCACGAAATACATACTTATTTGATGCTGACTGTACCTATTCCAAAGTTCAAACCTTGCGTAAAAATGCAATGCACTTCTGACTTCTGTGCAATCTCTCTTATTCACGAGCTCTACCTTTGCAAGACTGTTTCCTCGCAAACTGCACATTAAATATAGACAATCTATAACGATAGTGGTCTGTAATAGGGAAGCCAATATCGAGACGTGTTCCCGATACACAGCCCAATTTATTAACAGACCCCTTTCTGGGTGAGAAGACCCGTCTCTCGTATGTCATATTGAAAACAAACTTCACTACAAAGGTATACTATGAATCGGCGCCTAAAGTTGTTATTATAGTTCGATTTTCGTTGAGATATCCATCGTTATATGAAAAGTCTAGTCTTTAATACATAATATAAAATTTTGTCCATATTTTCCTTAGTCACGGCATCATATTATGTGAACAGCTGGTGGACCGATTTCTCTAATTCTTTTTTGTTGTGTTTTTAAGAAAAGGTTCTGTAAGAAAAATTATGAGAGTTGCGCGAAAAATAAATTGGCAAAACTGAACGGCTGTCGGGATAATAATACCTAGTTAAAATACGTACATAAATGTTACGTACCTATAAGTATTTTTAAAATATCATGGTTTACATTTACTCAATGACTTAGCCATATTTCTAACCAGTCCTTCCTATAGTTTATAAACAAAACATCTTTCAAGGCTTTTAAAGTCATTACAATGATGATATCATCATGTTTCTCGTATAATTGAGACAATTTCGGAATGACGACGTGTTATGTGCGTTGGTTGAGTCTGTTACATATTACCTTTTTGATGATAGCAGCGATAGCAATATCTAAATATAGCGTAAAACTTTTATATGATTACAAATTCAGTATCTACACTAATATTATAAAGAGGAAAACTTTGTTTGTTTGTTTGGTTGTAATGAATAGGCTCAAAAACTACTGAACCGTTTTTAAAAATTCTTTCACCATTCGAAAGCTACATTATCCACGAGTAACATAGGCTAAATTTTATTTTGGAAAAACATAGGGTCCAGGGGTCCACGCGCGCGAAGCCGCGGGCGGAAAGCTAGTTTTTTATAAACGTATTTTTAAATTGCATTGAACAGTACCATGGATGTATAAGTAATTTCATAGATCATCGCACCATTTGCACACGCTCGTTTTAAATTTCATCGCTGAATAAAGTTTTGGGAAAATCGGAACTATCGTGAAATACGCCGTGGAGTGCCATCAGGGCGCTTTAGCGAGAGCTTTCCGTGCCATTTCACGGCATAAATTTATCTGAAATTTCTGTTAAAATCTGCACCGTAATGTCGCCTAGAGACAGGGTGAATACGAGTTACAGTAATGATGGTTTGGTCAGAATACAGTCTGCTTTGTTTAAAATAGGTAATCTAAATCAATTGATTTAAATCTTTTTTTGGGTGATTTTACCTTTTGTTTCACAAGAATGTTGAGTTCCCACAGATACAGAGCTAACATCGATTTTTTTTTAAACGTTTCCATAGGCCTACTTAAGTTTTTGTGAACAAAACAAAACTCAGACAAAAGACTCATTGCTATTTAAAATAAAGAGTACCTAGGTAATTAAATGATATTCATAACAATCATTGAATACTGTTTGTAGTGTTTTAAAAACCAAACTAGTAAAGAGATTGTTTCATCTTAGCGGACAAGTTTGATCAAGCCCCTTGGACGAACTTTATGCCCGGTTCCCCAGATCCGGGTATCCGGATTACCGGGATAGACAAACTTAGATCAGGTTCCTGATGTACGGGCTGGAATGATAAACCAATTACTGAATCCCTTTACAATCCCGACAAATTTATTAACGCCACTTGATACCCTGAGTACTGTTACAGCTAATTTAATTAAGCTAAATGTAACTTTTCGTAATAGATTTGGCAAAGCCAGTTAATAAATATTTCAGCGGCTCCAGGAAAAACAACTTACCAGCAAATTCGTACGCATGGAAATCTTTGCTATACAAAAAACTCTTCAATGGAGATAAACAAAATCAAAATAAATTTTACATAGGTAAGTAACTGATTGTGACATTTTTTTTTTTCAGCCTTTTACAGGATCATTTTTCGTGAGTTCGTGTGATGGAAAGAATAATAAAACGAATTATGTATGTTGGTCGTTAAAAACAATGAATAAAGAATAATGTAATTGGAGGCAGGATTACAAGGCACAAATAAATACATGTACATTTAATTTTGATTAGTGAATTTAGGCATGTGCATAAAGTCATGGTTTTTAGGACTACCCTAACATAACGCGTTGAAGTCTTATGTTTTGTACCCATCGTCTACGAATTCTAGTAATTCTACGATATTCGTAGTCGATGGCGTTTTTTGTCTATCTTTTTAAAAACTCAAATGAATAAAACGTTAACTATCACAACTTCAGTAATACATCGCACAGATGCCCGTGTCTGTACTGTGGATGCGTCGAACAAAACTGCTGAACGAGCATTGAAACTCACTCGAAAAGCTTTTTAGTTGTTCCGGTTTAAAAAACAGTTTAGTTGAGTTGGAAATAGGCACGGGATGTGCTGACAATATGAGCGCGCCGAATTTCATCCTCGCTAAGGTAAGACTGCATGCCTTTATACCTAGAGTTATTAGTGAGTAAATATCTTCTGTTTTTTAACTTAACGGACAAATAGGTTGATTAAGTCTTCCTACCATTAATTAATCTGTCATCAATCCATATCTTATTGGTGTGTCACAGTGGGGCATAATGGATTCGACTAGCTCCTGTCTGATGTCATCTTCGTGTGTAATCATCAATTATGTTAATTAAATTACTTCTACAATAGGTCCTACCTACCTATGTCCAGCAAGGGACGCGACGTCCTATGGCTGAATGGCTATGACGATGATGATGACCTATAAGAACAACTTACCTAAATTATAAAATTGGTTCAAAGACTGCTGTATATTTTGTAATCTAGGTAGAATTTTGCGTGTGAAAGCTCATAAATACCTACTGCTCGTAATAAATATAAGCTAACTGCCCAATTTGACCCTCATTAATCTGCTGACAATCTCAACTTTTGATCTTTGGATAGATTTTTGTCGAGTTGTCATACAAGCTGTACTCGCTTCCGCTCCTGCGCCGCTCGCACTAAAGACACGCTTTATAGAGAAGGAAAACAGAGCAAGAAACATTGGCAGAGCAAACGCACAAATTCCAATCAAACGCTGTTGCCTAGCTCTATTATATGAGATTGATGATGCCGCTTCCAGGGCTGCGTGGAACGTAAAACAATTTACAGTAGCTTTAATAGCTCTTTTGACTACTCTCGTTTTAAGATGCATATTTTAGTTTCCTTTAAATTCATATCATCATCATCGGCTGAAACGATGTGGGCCAGTTGAGAAGATTTTCACTATAGAATTTATCTTGTGCGAGTAAATACAATCTAATTCAATGAAGAAACACCAACCACAGGGTAAAAATAAGCCTTATTATAATAATTTTAGAGGGCTAAGTGTGTGTTTACTCAAACGTCCTCACTAGTGAGCGCGTAAAAAAATGACAAGCGCCCCTAGCGGAAACGTTCAAGAACTAAAATTTTCATTTTTTTTTAACTCGCTCACTAGTGAGGACTTTTGATGTAAACTCACACTCAGCCCACAGAATAGAAAAAAGTTCGAGCAGCAGCCCTAGGGCGGCCGCGGCTGCATGTGACCGCCAGCGCTTTTCCAATTTTCCGCGTGTCCGCCGCATTCGTCACGCCCGCCGCTGACGCCTTAACGGATTGCCGCAATAACGCGTCCGGAACAATAGCAACGGTAAAAACTAGCTAACTAATGATTAAACAGCACGTCTTTTCCCAATATGAACGTATGGACATTCTATTATTTCGTGAAAAATCTTGAACTCATTCAGTACGACTAAATTACCATCTAACTCAACGGAGAAACATCAAATACAGGAAAAAATAAGTCTTTAAATTATTTCAGGATAGGAAAAAGTATGCGCAGCAGCCCTAGGGCGGCCGCGGCTGCATGTGACCGCCAGCGCTTTTCCAATTTTCCGCGTGTCCGCCGCATTCGTCACGCCCGCCGCTGACGCCGTAACGGATCGCCGCAATAACGCGTCCGGAACAATGGCAACGGTAAAAACTAGAAAACTTGTTAAAAAATCCCTGTTTTCCCAATATGAATTGAAGTTTAATATCTAGCTAGTAACTATTTCATGTAAAATATTAAACTCATCCAGTACGACTGAATTACAATCTAAATTCAACGAAAAAACACCAATTACAGGAAAAAATAAGCCTTTATAAACTACAAACTAGCTAACTAATGATTAAACAGCACGTCTTTTCCCAATATGAACGTATGGACATTCTATTATTCGTGAAAAATCTTGAACTCATTCAGTACGACTAAATTACCATCTAACTCAACGGAGAAACATCAAATACAGGAAAAAATAAGTCTTTAAATTATTTCAGGATAGGAAAAAGTATGCGCAGCAGCCCTAGGGCGGCCGCGGCTGCATGTGACCGCCAGCGCTTTTCCAATTTTCCGCGTGTCCGCCGCATTCGTCACGCCCGCCGCTGACGCCTTAACGGATTGCCGCAATAACGCGTCCGGAACAATAGCAACGGTAAAAACTAGCTAACTAATGATTAAACAGCACGTCTTTTCCCAATATGAACGTATGGACATTCTATTATTTCGTGAAAAATCTTGAACTCATTCAGTACGACTAAATTACCATCTAACTCAACGGAGAAACATCAAATACAGGAAAAAATAAGTCTTTAAATTATTTCAGGATAGGAAAAAGTATGCGCAGCAGACTTAGACTTATTCTATACATACTCATATTTACAATGTCCTAAAACTTAAAATACTTATAAATAACAGAGTACGTTTTAGAGCGATTACGTACGGCTTACGAATTTGAGGAAAACAGTGGGTCCTAAATTCCGAAGAAAGCAGTAATATTAGTATTCAAATAAGAGCAATGCGTAATCGCTCTTAATTTAGACTCTTTTTCAACAAACTACTTTAGTATCTAACATACAATAAATAATACCTAAAATCTAAACTTGCTTTAAAACTGTGATATCTAATCTTGACCCCACGTCGACAATGAGTAAGCATTGGTGGGATTACTGTATTACTGAAGTCAGCTTAGAGCTTGCCGGATAATCAGCTTGTCTTAACTTTGATAGATTGATTTGGAAAACCTTGTGTCATTAATGTTCTGATAAAATACCTTTAATTGATAAAATAATGAAATAATAAATACGCACGCTCTTATAAAGAAAATTGAGTTACGCAACTGTCGTTCTATACTTTGTTGTTGATAAATGTTTTTAAAGCTCTTTTATAGTAAATAGGTACGAGTTCGAGTGTATGCTATTTGCGCAGCTGCGTAATATTGAATTCCTAAATTATAAATTATCAGATATTATTATCTTTGGCCAAATCTCATCGTCATTTGCCTTTTAAGATAATAATATTAGCCTGTTGTTTTTGTAACTGCATATTCCATTACATAATAAAGATGACTACTGAGTACAGGATCCATAGAGAGCTGACCATTCTGGTGATAGAGGCAGTGTTACCAGGAGAAATGGGTGTACGGTAGTGCTGGTCATATATGCTGTCCCAGAGCTCAGCACGCTCCTGGTTGAGTGGCCCCCTGAGGGTCACGTTGACTCCCAAGTAGACGTGTGGGGCCCTGGTCGCGTCAGCATGGCTCCACGGAGGCAGTACTGAACCGGCAGCCACTGGGTTACTGGAAAATACGTTATAGTTTTGTGACTGATGTTAACCAACTTTAACAGTCTTTACTAATTTGAGTCGTAGCAGCTTTAGGTACGTGTTATTAGTAACACATTTGATGACTAAATGTACGTATTAAATAATATTCTTGATATTAACGTTAACAGAAAAACTACCAAATATCGCGACATCCAGAATTGTGCTGGCAAAAAGTAATGAATGAGTAGATCTACTCTAACTTACCCAGTCGTAACGAAGTCAATAAGCATACTCCTTAACACGGCTATCATGTCTCTATACTCTTGAGAGATATCAGTCTCATCGATGTCAAATATAGGAGTATACTGGTCACAGTGGTCCGGCCCGCGCTCATTTGTATGAGGTATAATCGGCGTATTCTCGTCATAGAAAGAATATTCATACAAATATGTTGGGCTATTATTATTACCTTTGGAATTCAGTCTGACTGACCGCAGCATAGAATATGCAAATAGCACATCCGAGAAATAATCAATGTAAGCCAATATGCTTCCTTCATTTATCGTCTGATTTCCAAAGTAAAATTCTCTAACTCTGCTCGCCACTTCTTCTTTTTCATCCTCCGAGCTAAATTCAAGATCAGCCGGTAAGAAGTCTGAAAACTTGGCGTCCATCAAATGTCTCCATATCTCAAAATTACCCAATCGTATTAGACCTTCTTTTTCAGCAAACCCATACAGTAATGGCATACTTTTGTGTTCGCCTTTGTTCAATATATTCACAGGAGCATCTTCAAGAAATCTTTCAACACCAATATCTTTTTCAACGCACGGAGCGAATATCACATTTGAATCCGGTCGGGTAGAAATTAGCTCCGGTCTAGATAGTAATGTTAGGAGAGGCGCAGTTTTGTAAAATTCACCAAGCGCAGCGATATCCTCAACATTCTCGAAACCCAAAGCACTTGCATAGAACTTTGCATTTGCCACTGGATCAAGTTGAATGCCGAATGAGCCGGCATTACCACCGCTAGCTGGCATGGCTTTACTCATCAGATCATCAGTGGTACTTGAAAGTCTTAAAAGATCAACTGAAGCACCGCCGGCACTGCAGCCAACGACAGTGACATCATCAGGGTTTCCACCGAAAGCGGCAATGTTCGCTTTCACCCACCGTAAAAGAGCGACTTGGTCTTTCATTCCAGCGTTACCGGGTGCATCTTCTGTGCCCAAACATAAAAATCCATGCGCTCCGAGTCGATAATTAAAGTTGACTGCAATCAGTCTCTTAGTATTGACCAGGCTAACAGGTTTATCGAGATCTCCATAGCCTATCTGAAAAGCTCCTCCATGAACTGCAACCAACACAGGAAGGTTGGTCGCTTCTGTGTCAGGGACATATATGTTTGCAATGAGACAGTCTTCTGTGATATTTCTATCCAAAAATAATAGTTGAGGACAAGTAATACGATTGTCTTTGGCTTCGAAAGGCTCGGTCCATGTTGGTGGTGGCAGGGGTGCCTAAAATATGGAGAAATATTAAAAATTATATCTGAGTATTCAACGCCAAATTCCTAATAATAAAATGTTATATATTCGTACTTCGTTATAATTAAATCGTAATTAAGTCAACTCTAGCAATAACTCAATTTAGCATTTTAAGTCTTACCTGTAAACATAGTGTAAATATGTGGAAATTATTCTCGATTTTTTAATTAAGCATGTTACATAATTTCTACGTATTTATTTTCTTAGCTTACCTTGAATTTGTCGGTTCCCGTAGGTGCGGTAGCGTATGGAATGCCATTAAATGCGAACACATCAGTATCGGGAACCTTGTAGCCTATGACTGGCCCTTGGGTGATGTCCACCCTCAGCTCAGTGGACTGAGCTTCGATCCTCAGGAACGCGGTCGCGCACACCAGCAACGCACCCCACGGAGCTATCATTGTTATTGCATTAAAATAATCCCAATAAGACTTTATTACTTAAATATAGAGTGACAATCACCTAATTACAAAAAACTAGCTATGCCCGCGACTGCGTACGCGTGAAAATTGGCTGAATAATTTTCCCGTTTTTGCAAAATTTTCTCCTATTGGTAGCGTGATGTTATCGTTAAAATTGACATTTTTTTTCTAATCAAACCAGTTAGTTTCCGAGATTAGTGTGTTCAAACAAACAAACAATGTAAGTTGACTTTTTTTATACATTAGTAAGTACTTAGGTTAACTTATCTCAGTAATAATTCCGGATCAACCACCAACAGCGCTATCGTATTAATCGAATGTTTCTTCATACTTTATTCAACTTGTTTGTTCAGTTTTTCACTTTTTATAAGAGGAAAAATATAAGATAAACATTTTAATGGATTTTATTACATTGAGTCGGCCGTTTGGTGTAGTGGTTCGAAACGGACTACTATTCCGGAGGTTGCGGGTTCGATTCCTACACAGTACAAACATTTGTGTGCATGAACATATTTGTTTGTATTGGACTGGGTGTTTTCTATGTATAATATGTATGTATTTACAAAAAAAAAGTATTTAAGTATGTTTATATCCGTTGTCTAGTACCCATAGTACAAGCTTTGCTTAGTTTGGGACTAGAAGTGCAGTGTAAAATGTCCAAGGATATTTATTTATTTATTTATTTATTTATGATTGAGTGCTATTTTATGAATTAGTAGCTAAATAGACTAATATTTCCTAAGTAATTAGCTCTAAGTATTAATGTGCATCACTGAGTTATTCTTTACATTCATGTAACATAACTATTTATTAATACCTAGGTAGAATATCATTTTTAACCGACTTCAAAAAAGGAGGAGGTTATATGTTCGACTGTATGTATTTTTTTTTCTATGTATGTTCACCGATTACTCCGTCAATTGTGGACCGATTTTCAAAATTCTTTTTTTGTTCGATAGGGTACACTTCTGAGGTGGTCCCATTGTCACCAAGTAAGGATCTGATGATGGGATCCTAGGGAAATCGAGGGCAACCCTCAAATTTTATAGGCACGTATATCGTTTTTCAAACTTTTTCTTAATTTATTCAAGTATTTGCTCCTGGAAATCATCATCTAATATTGATGAGCTGATGATAGAAGGTAAAACTCCTTAATACTTAGGAATTGGAAGATAATTCTTTTAATTTTATAGATAAGTATAGTTTCTAAAGTTATTCAAGTGTTTACATCAGATATTCATCATCATGATGAACTGGTCATGGTAGGTACAACTCCTTAATGCTTAGGAGTTGGAGGATGATTCTTTAAATATTATAGGTACAAATAGACCAACAGTTGTATTCTTTCATGTTTTTAAGGTGGGCTGACGGTTTAAGGTCTTTTTAGGTTTCCTATATGGTAACCTGTATTTTGTAGGGAATATTATTTTACACTAGACATGAAGAATATGGTCTCAATGTACTGCCTACCTTCAGTGGTAACATCAAGGTAATAATTAGTTAACTAAAAAGCAAGAAATAAGTAAAATTTTATTAAAAAAAATAAAACCGACTCCAAAAAACTTAGGTACACTAAAAAGTAGAAAAATAATTACTAATTACCTACTTATTTATTAGGACGAATTAATATTTATGTAGGTATACCATGATTGATACTTTTGGAGTCGGTGCAGGCAAACTTTACATGTTTCATAATCTTGGCACCGACTCCAGAAGTATCAATCATGGTATACCTACATAAATACGTCACGCGCACGCACACACACACACACACACACACACACACACACACACACACACACACACACACACACACACACACACACACACACACACACTCACGCACGCACACACTAACTTCACTCACAAACACAATCTGCAATCATCCTACACTATAAGCCTTACGCTAGTCCATGTGCATGGATGGAATTGTTTCTAAATTTCCTTGGGCTACGCGATAATTTTTTGTTTAATGTGCTTATTCTTACTTTTTTGCTTTTTTTTTTCTCCTTATACTACTATTGCAACTGCGCTGTACTATGTATGTATACATCGATACGTATCTTGTATGCTCCAACTGTCAATAATGTGGGGGGGCCTGGCGACCTGTGTCACAGGTTTCTTTGAAACCTACTTCAGGCACCAGTCTCTCACAAGTGATAGGAATTAAGCTAAGACTACTATTATAAGACCTTGTATTTAAGTACGCATGTTTCCTACTTTGTGAAGAGAGAAATAAACAATTTATTTATTTTATTTATTTTTATTTATTTATAAATATTAATTCGTCCTAATAAATAAGTAGGTAATTAGTAATTATTTTTCTACTTTTTAGTGTACCTAGGTTTTTTGGAGTCGGTTTTATTTTTTAATAGCTAACGTTTTAAAAAAAACATACTACGATTATTTTACAATAATCAGTAATTAACATCTAATCACGAGATAATAAGAGACTTATGCAATGCACAAGTTGTACATTTTTGTTTAATCAACAAAATAAAAATCACGTAGTTATCAGAACATGAAATCTAATTAATCAAAAGTATTTAAAGGTATGTAGGGGTTAACAATTTTCACGGGAGGCAGCAGCCCCCTTTTTCCCTAGTGAGGTACCTATGCTGGTTTATTGAACTCATAGCTTGTTCATTCGGTAAAACAGCGAGCACCATTCACTACTTCCTTATTAATCAACGTTTTAAAATAATTCACCCTTTATGTAATGAGACCATTAATTAAAGAATCTACTCACTCATCACGAAATCTGCTATGCTAATGCTAGGAGTCTCAAATTTTGCATGGGGGTTCCTTTTAGAACGTAGGTGCTCACTAAGACGGGATTTCGCAAACTTCAATCCCTACGCTGGTAAAACGGGATCCACACGTACGAGGTCGCGGGCGGCCGCTCTACTACGCTGTATACCTACGACTACGTATTGCGGTTGTATACCATAGTAATAATTTTCATTTCAGGTTTCCATTCGCGAATATTGTCGAAACAAAAGCGTGGCATATTTAGTATTGGAAATATCGGGCGATAGTGGCCAGCGGTGGTCGCAAAAAGCGCGAATGCCGTCCTCACAGATATTGCAATTTCGCTACCAATACGCAGTTTTTGTATCGTTACCGCACACATACCTAGTAGTAGGAACGAAATAGGCTTTTTAGTCCAATCAACGAGGCGTTTGTAACCCGAATAATTCGTCCGTCAATGAAACTTGGTACATGGTGAAAGTAGGTAATATAGATCATAGATATGCAAAAATCCAACAAAATTTTTTTTGGGAAGTTATGTTTTTTGACCTAAACATGAAAATCGTTAATAACTCTCTGTGTAAAAATTCTCAGCCTGAAATTCTTTCTGTATACGTACCTATGTACTACTTAGAATATGTATGTAAAAGAATCCAACACTTTTTNGGAAAAAAGGTTTTGAAATCATTTTGGTCATTCAAATCAAATGAGGTAAGTCCAAAAAGTGTGTTTAATTTTGATTGTGTCAGGGTTTGTTTACTTCATTTATAGTTGTAGTTTTACAGTAAAACAAAAAGAAAAAGCTACTTTAACGGTTTCATTATATAACAGTAAATATATTTAAATGTTTCTGTATCGCTAGTAATAAATTAAATATCGTTTTCAGATCGAAATGAGTATCGTTTTGAAGACCGGGTTTGTGAGAGTTACAATATCAAATTCCAACCACAAACCGTATTTAAAGGAAAGTTGTTGGTATTGGCTGGACAAGTCCGAGATGTAGAAGAATTAAGAACAAAACAAGGGCAGAGTTCAATAATTCACGCTCTCATCATAAGGCAAACATCTGTGCACAACAACTACTGTGACTCATTTTTGTACTACCACGTTGTATAGTTTAGTTATTTCCAAATTGTAAACGGCTATTAAAACAGCCCTATCGAAATACAGTCCACTCTTTTATTTAAGTTCCCAGTAGGACCCTTTTCATGCGATTAATTAATGATATTAAAATGTATTATGTAGAATCGCTTTGCCATTGACAGATACATCTGATGACAGAGCTAACATTATTTCTACTTTTGACCACCATGAGCGCTGCGATAGATTATGTCCCCCCCACCTAGTACTTCGCACCCAGCGAATAGTGCTTATGGTAGCAGCGTTTGATTGTAATAAAGTGAGTGGTTTTAATAATTAACGATACTTTTATTGATAGTTATATTTTCACCAAATAATATGGTGCCAAAATTGCAGATTTCGAAATAAATGTGTCCAGGAACTAAGGCGTTATGTAAATTTTTACGACAGGATGCGAGAGGGATGAAGGGGAAGTGTGTGAGAGACAAAATTATTTAACGCATGAAAATGTTTAACGTTCAGGTATAAATTATATTTTTTGGGAAGTATTTAGGTACTCTAAAAATAGTTGTACGACTGTTTATTTGTGTCTTGCTTTATATTAGAAACTATTCTTTCAAATTGGGTTAAATACATTTCGAATTCTTCAACTAAAGAGTTCCTTACCTTGACGGCGTTCTGGTTGAGCTTGGCAGTGACCGGGCCGACGGAGGAGGGCGGCGGCACGTTGCCGATCGGCGTGAGCGAGTCCAGTGGGTTTAGCAGCACAGGCCGCTGCTGCAGTCTCGGGGGCTGCGGGAACTGACGATGTGTTCAATGAGGGTTATCGTTTTTAGGGTTCCGTAGCCAAAATGGCAAAAACGGAACCCTTATAGTTTCGTCATGTCCGTCTGTCCGTCTGTCCGTCTGTCCGTCTGTCCGTCTGTCACAGCCGATTTACTCGGAAACTATAAGTACTACAGTGATGAAATTTGNGAAAAAAAGATCGCCTATTTTTTATTTATTTTATTTTATTGTTAGGAAAACAAACAGCATTGTATAACACACGTAGAGTTACAAATTAAACTTCACATTTGCCAAAAGAGTTTTCAAAAATAGTTTTTACATAGGTATCGTTTATAGAAATTGAGTAAACAGAAACAGAAAAAGAATTTTTTTTTTTGGATGCTAAGTTAAATACGGTATTATAATTTGGCAATTAATTAAAACTCGAAATATCGCATCATTGTTAAAACAGTAAATAGTTAGGTAATTACTGTTTTAACCTAAATTTGTTTGGTTTTAGGCTGAAAATATCTAACTGACCGTATTTGGAGTTATACAATTTCATTGATCTTAGAATAAATCGGTTCATCGCATAATTAATACGGCAAGAAGAAATGGCAAATGTATCACATGACCTCATGTTCGCTCTCGGACATCGCTACAAAACCTTACTCAAAAGGTAGGGCGAGTCAACATAGCCATTAACAACTTTGTACAATAAAAGTTGATCGCAGTGTTCTCTTCGCAAAGCAAGTTTTGTTTAGCATTTTAATTGGCTATATTTACCCGACTACGTTATGTTATGTTTTTCGACATTAATAGATATTTATTTATTTAGTATTCGCCATTAGAGTGAATAGCCCAGAAAAAGAAATTAGTTTTTTGAAAGGCCTTAATATGGCTTTTTTGTAACTTTTTGGACTTTAAATAAAAGCCGTCATTATTATAAGCCTTTTTATTGTCATTTATCTCAAAGATTAATGTATTTCATTTTATCAAAGGAAATTGTCGTAGTTTTTTATTATCCGGTATCCGGCCGGATAGTGAGTTACTATCCGGTATCCGGCCGGATATTAAATTTAGGCCGGATATCCGGCCTACCGGATAGTTACCGGATATCCGTTTCATCTCTAGTACATAGGTACGTATGCAGAAAGAATTTCAGGCTGAGAATTTTTACACAAAGAGTTATTAACGATTTTCATGTTTAGGTCAAAAAACATAACTTCCCAAAAAAAATTTTGTTGGATTTTTGCATATCTCTGATCTATATTACCTACTTTCACCATGTGCCAAGTTTCATTGACGGACGAATTATTCGGATGTCTCCATACAACGAATCTCCTCGTTGATTGGACTATTTTGTGCGACGGAAAACATGCGGCGATAAAAGAATCCTCTGGTAGAGCAGCATACCTATATACATAAATGGAAAAACTAGTCTCCAAAACGGACGTTTACTGTGAAAAGAGAAATGAAAATTTTCATTTCATTTCATTTCAGGAATTCAGGACGATATCAACTTGGTAAGTAGGCCACTTAGTCAGTGCCTTAACACCTCAGATCATAGAAGGGAACTTAACACTGATGTTAGAATTATTAAAACGGCAACATAATCAAGTTTATTAGGTTTAGGTACTAAAGTAAAATGCACACCACACAAAAGTTCAAAATGGAAGAAAGTACCTAACAAAATACTAAAATTGCACATTTCAGCGATCTTATCGCATGGAAGCGATCTCTTCCAGACTCTATTAATTAGACATTGTAATTTAGGAGGTATATAGGTATCATTTAAAAATAGGTAGTACCTAGTACCTATCATTATAAAAAATAAAAACTTGTGTAAAAAATAGATCTCTGCATTACATCCTGGACATTTGCCTGCAGATTTATGCAGTCCGCGCGAACAGAGCAGCCCGAGTAACGCGGGCTTCTGCTCCAATTCACCTTTAGTCAAATGGTCTGTGAAAACTGATAATGCCCTGAACTTATCACTGATTTTGTATGGACTGAATAAGGAATGGACTGTATGTTCCAGATAACGGGTCGTACCTTATGGTTGAATGAAGATTACGTATGAGATGAATGAAACCCATTTAAATATTTTACCTTTTTTTTATCCACAGCGACGAAGCTCCTGGCCTGCATCTCACCTGATGGAAAGTAATGATCAGGCCGAAGGTGGAAGCGAGCTTCCTCGACCAAATAGTAACTTGCTATCTTGACCTTTACTGCCGGAACACAACAGTGCCGTTAATATTGTTAAGGCGACAGACTTTGGTAAGATGGTGGTAGATGCGGACTTAGAACAAGCCTTACCAAACCGAACAGAAAATCTGCCCGTATTGGTAATCGAACCCGGAACCTCTGGGTCTGAAGCAGGTGGTAGCCCTAGACCACGGCGGTTACCCTTAGGTAAGATAATAAAGAAGGTAAATAAAAGAAATCCTTAATTATTTTAAATTGTTTATTTTCATGTTATGTAATTCATAAATAAATAAACATACGACTATTATACACCAATTAATATAGATATGATTACGACATTGGAGCTCTGTTATTTTACACAAACATAGATTGATCGGAATAATAAGAAGATTTAGTCATTTAATTAAACACAATAGCTGCTGGATAATTTTTAAAGAAATAAAATATATTGTAATATCGTATCTACCTATCTATGTACTTACGGTTCGACCGTTTCAGCGCGAAGAAATATCGCTGAAGTTAAAATGTTATGACTTTACTGTAACTGGACTAAGATCATCCATAAAATTATTTTGCTGAAATAAACAACTATGAAGTAACTTATTAGTAATCAATCTGTGACTATGAGCAAACCATATTCGAGTAATATCAAAAACCCGACAAATACTGTGTCAGTTTCAATCTCGCATTAATTTACATTTTAAACGATTGCAAGAGACGTTAACAATAACCTATGACTGACAATGAGTTGATAAATATTTCCCGGAAAATTCAACATTCTCAACAGATAGGTATTTTTACGAGTGCGAAAATTATGAAATCCGTCTTTCAATTTCCGGGAAAAAATAATAATGAGTGTTTTCTTTTCGCCAACTGTTCCTATTCACCCTTTATGGCATCGCGTTAACATCAAAAAGTTGTGTAAAGTCCTGTATTGTTTTAATACTTCAATTTATTACTTTATTCACATATTGTAAGTATAAGTAGGTATATTTTATTAAAATCTATCGCGCACCTCACTCGGCAAGAGCCATGAAGTTCTATGCTACAAACAAAACTATGACTGCAAGATTATTCTGCAGTCTGTCGGGCTACTATTACTACTACCACAGAATAATAATAAGTACCTACTACGTACAGAAGTTTTACTTCGCGAAGGTATTTAAAAAAATATATGCTCAATGTCATTAACAATATGGTGTAATTTAGCCTGTCTCAAGAGTCAAGCACAATTTTGTTGACAAACGTCAGTGATCGGCACTGCGCCGAAGCTATAGGGCTGACTTCGGTAAAATGATGTGACTTGAGGTGCCAAACTGCGGAAAATGGCGGAGGAAATACATGATTTATCATGAATTATCATGAATAATATTAACTACTTATTTACCTCTCAGTGTCTTGAGGCAACTTAAAAAAGTACATTCTGTGTTTTTATTATTATTTAGGCAGTTAAATACTGCACAGTATTTAGTACACCATTTTCTATATTTTCTTCCATCATACACAAGAATACGCTTGCGTGAGTCAATGTTCGCTCGTATGTGAGGCCTTGTCGAATAGTATCCTGTGTGCTTACCATGAGTTTACGTTAGTTGTGCTCGCTAGCGACTGCGTAAAAAAATGACATTTTAATGTATGACATATTGTGCAGCGCCCCTAGCGGCTACTTTCAAGAAATAAAATCTTTATAGAAATTTTTGACATACTCGCTAGCGAGCACACCTAACGTAAACTCATGGTAAGCACACTGTAGGTGGGCCATCGTGCGTGTTTTGTTTTCGATGTAAACTCGCGGAGATGAACAGCCCCCTTAGACAAAACGCACTTTTTGATCGAATCGAAAATCGAATCCGTCAAAACTCCATACAAAAAAGGGGCTTTTCGACCACTTTTCGACTGGTTTGCGATTATAATTTGCACTTTGTCTAGACCCACAGGCCTGCTACTACTATCTATTTAGCACCGATTCCAAATCTTTTGTCTATACGTTGCTGTAGATCAGGGCAGCGTCTCACTTTGAGTAGGAGGAATATCTTTGAAAATACGGAACCGGTCTCAGAAAAGATATATTCAAGTCTGATCGATCAAAATAATATTCAATTAATAAAATTCAATCAAAAATTGAATCTAGCTGGCGTAAGTCTTGGCTTATGCTGAGTGTGGTCCCGTTAATTTGGATGTCTTTAGACAATTACAGGTTACAATTTTATACAAAAATATAATTTAATACATTGTAATACCAGCTATGTAAGTACATATTAATACATAGTCATATATTTAAAAAAAATAAAAATTAAAGCAAAAATCTAAAGTAAAATTCTTAGTTATTCAAACAAAATTTTGAGTGCAGTGTAACATAATTATGAGATCTTTATTATTTTATTATATCTCATTAACTTGCTATATTCTATAAATCCCTAGTACTTTGATGTTAAGAATTATGTTTCAGAATTAATAATACACAGATTCGAACTCATTAGTGTGTTATTATACTAACACAAACTACTTAAACAATTACTAAGGTAGGTAATAAAGATATTTATATCACACCTTAGTGTTTAGTTGTACAAGATCCAATTGAAATACAATTTCATTTATGTACACACGCCCACACTGTTAGCTATCCATTTCCATTTTTGCTCTCGCTCTAATCAAATGGCGATTCTTTGCGATAGAACGAGATGACATGACTTTCAATGGGCAGTTAACACTGTTGGCGATAGTACCTACTTCACATACAAATATAATTTGATTTTCTTAGCGCCGATCATAAAATAGGGTATTTGACACCACCAATCAATTGACGTACTTTTTAAAACTGTCAAAACGACACTCTCCCATAGATTTTGTACGGCAATACTAGCATGTGACGTCACAATTTTATCAACTCAATGAAACTACTTTTTTCAATTATAATGCAACCAAAAATCGTAATTTACAGGTAATTAAAAATTAATTAAGTTTTTAAGACCAGAAAGAAGTGTCTTTTTAAAAAAGTTGTGGTTTAGAATTATTGGCGAATGGTGTCAAATACCCAATTGTTAGTTAACTTTTTTCTGAATTAATTAATACCAAATTAATTAGATAGGTACCTAAGTATTGACATCATACGATTGAAAAGTCATTCGGTATTCTAATATAGCCTTTTGGAATCTATCCTTCTCATTCATAAACGTACTTTAAATGAGATAACAAATACTTCCAAAAAATAGCTCACGCATGATTATATGACCTTACAATGTTTTAGGCTGCAATCGAAAAAATGGTTTTAAATCATATTTATGGAATACATTTTTTTTTCAAAAAAGTTAGAATAAATGGGGTTTTTTAAAGTTCAGTGTACAATCTCACAACTCAAGCTCAGCAAAGCATGCCAACACTGAATTCCATAAGACCATAATCATAATAATTATGCTTTATCCTATCTACATGTAAAAAATACTTCCCATTCATTGAGAGAAAGAAATTCGGTTTTTAATAACAATTATTGTAGAATAAAATATCAAATAATAAAAAAACGTGGGGTTATTTATTCATTAATTTGTTAATTTAAAGTGATATGCAATGAAATTTTACGACTGGTCTTTTACCTCTTAAAAATAAAATACAAAACTAGTAAGTCAGAAAATTTTAAGTGGAAAACAATCATGGGAATCATTACTTAAATTAAGCAGTCTCAAAAGATAGACTTCTTTTATACTTTCATAATCTGATTTTACTTCAGTACCTCTAGCATGAACAACTTTCGTCTTCGAATCGTTTGGGTATTCGATAAAATTCGATCGAATTCAACGATAACGTGACAATTTTGATTGTCAAAATTAATTTCGTGCTACCATTTCTCATACTAAGCTCACTTTCAGCGGGGCTCTGTTTAAGTTTTCATACTAAATTTTGATGGCGATTCGAATACGCAAACGATTCGAAGTCGAAAGTTTTTCGTGCTAGAGGCACAGGCCTACAGTGACGACACACTGAGATCAGCTTATAAATATAAATACAGTGTAAAGCCGCAGGTTAAGAATCACGAGACAAAAGCACGCGTTAGAGTTCCATTGTCCACAGCACACTCATGTTCTTATATTACTAGGTTTGTTGTTTGTTAGAGCAAGCTTTGTTCCACCATAATCTTCTCGTAGCCAGGAGGCGGCGGATACAAGAAACTGTCCAGGTTTATATCTAGGATTGCGCCATCGTCAACTGGAAATAATTAAAATATATTTTTTATGTCCTAAAACCTGCCAAAATTTGGGTAGCTACAAATTGTAATAACAGTTTGGACTTAGAATAAAACAATTTATCAGTACCATGCAACCTGTCCAGGAATACAATAAGAAATCTTTGGCTGTTAATTTTTGCAATATAAAATTCACAGTAGGGTAACATAACACTGTAAATCATCTCATCATGCTGGCTGTATATCAAAAGAGCCATTTTCTCAAATGCTTTGTTTTCTATAGGGATAACTTTCTCAAATTGTATCCATAACTCTTTGTATATTTATCTTATCTCAAGAAAAAATAAATATATCTTTTATTTATTTATTTAATATAAAAAGAAAACAATTCTACTTACCATATAAGGCTGGGTAAACAGTCCCCTTAACGTTAGTGACGGGGATCTCCATATTTTTGCCATTCAAATAGAAGTTCAACTCCACATGATCGTAAGCAACGCCGATAGTGTCGCCCTCTACCGGCATCGTAGCAGCTGTGGTAGCGTTTTCATTTGTCTTTTCGTTTTCGGTGTGGCTCGGAGAGCCCGTTGAGACTAGCAAGTCCGCTGTGGGTGAGTCTCGTGGGGCAGCTGTAAGGTGGTACAGTTCCACGTTTGCGTTTCGTACTGTGCCATCGCTATTCAAACACCAAGACTCTTTGTCCACTCCACCTTGAATCAAGAAATAATTTTATATGTTAGCCATTCATAAGATAAAGCTACATATCATAATATGTCACTGTTATGACCTTTAAATGATAGTAAAACTCACTCATCAATTAAAACAATGCAATTCACAACATTATGCTGTAATTTTTAGCAAAACACTCATGTCTGTCCTAATTATTAATTTGGCAATGCTTATGAAATAAGCTAATGTGCTCTGTTTATAAAACAAGCATTGTGAAGGCTGTGATTGCACTGACCAAATGAATGCATAACCGTGACCTTGCAAACCATTTATTGATATGAGTCACATGGTTCTGGTTCACTTTGCTTGCTATTATATTTTTCAACCTTAATAATTGTAATGAAAGACTAGTTAGTTGAAGACAAAAATAAAACTCATTAAGTATTGTGATGACCCCTGTTTATTTTAAAACTTGGGGTTTAACTTTCTTGCATTTAAGGTCAATCTTATGATATTTTTAGTTACATTCACATACTAAGGCTGGGTTGTACCATCTTATAACTTTTGCAAACGTCAAACTTCCGTCAAATTCTGTACAAAAAACACCAGTTATCGTTATGGTTACGGTCAAAGTTAGATGGTGTAACTCAGCCTAAGTTTTGTTCTGGACGTAGTGTATGCTTACCATGGACACGGTTGACGTCCGTTTCTCTAGTAGCCAGGCCTACAGCCCACACTCCTCCTTGCTGCAGCTTCACTTCAAAATACGCCTTGTTTTGGACCAGAGGGGCATTCCCCAGCGCGCATCCAGATCCACAGACGCGTTGACCACCTTTTACAACGACCACTTCGTGTCCTGGATGCAATCATAATAAGAAATGAGCCTCTCTCTACCAATGTAGGGTTACAAAGGCTTAAAGTTCGATACTTGTACAGTGTCATTCAATCTGTTTGTTTGAAAATAAGCAAAGAATAGTGTCTTTATTGTAATAAACTCATACATACCCATATGCAAAGTATCCAGCTGAACTGGATTCTCTTTGATACGAATTGGCACACTTGGCGTAAGGCTGAAGCCATTGATGCATCCTTTTAAACAGCAGAACATGTTGGTACTATTTTTCAGACTAGTATTTTAACAAATCAATACAATTACAGCAACATGCAATCTAATTATTGTTATTGTATCAAATCTACGTCATTTTCATTCAATAAAAATTGGCAAGTTCGAAGAACTTTGACAACATTTGACAATGGAGGTGACCAGCTGACACTGACACTTGAATGAAAGTTTTTTTTACTCGTTGTTAACGTCTTTGGGCTATAACTTTTTGGGTACGATCATACATATCGTTTATTATAATCGAACACAATGAATCGATTATTCAATTGACTTATTGACAAAAACCGGTTTTTTGTCTCTAGTCTAGTAAAATATATTTTTTTAAATCCACAACGAGGAAAGAAGCTTTTAGGCCTGCGGCCTGCTTCCTGGTGAAAAGTGATGATCTGGAGGCGGTGGACGCGAACTTTACCTGGAATCCTCAACTATAGAGGATCTTACCTCCAACAATGGAACTTCCGAGCTGAGATAATCTCAGACAGAAGTCACAAATATTTTGATGATAACAAGAATAGATAACCTACCATAATATCGTTTCAATAGAAAAATAAAGATCTAAATAATCCCTGGAACTAAAATCCATACCAATTGCTTTGTGGTCCAACGCGAAAGAGAATAAAAGAATAAAATTAACACAGTAAACACATTTTAAATTTAAATAAAACTTTTGTATTTCTTACAAATAACAAATATGTTTCATTTGAAACAAAATCAAAACAGCATCGTAGATATTTTGTGGTGAATTTGCATATTTATTTCGTAGATAAATAACGAATTGCTAGATCACGTTGCGACTTGGGAGATAAAAGACTGTTTAAATAAAAAAACTGTTATTTGTTCGTTTTCAAACTAAACTGCGAAATGATTATGATCAATTTATTACAGACTAGCGGCCGCCCGCGACTTCGTAGGTACGCGTGGATCCCGTTTTACCCCCTTCATCTATCTTACGCGATTTAGATATTTTCAAACAAATGTTGCAATATCCTGTTGTACTAAGCTTTAAGTTTACTAAGGTACGAAGGTACCTACATGCCAAATTTCAAGCGTCTAACTTAAGCGGTTTAGATTTTTCATACAGAAGGAATTTCGGGAATTCCTTGTTGTAACTAAGCTTTAAGTTTACTAAGGTACTTACATGCCAAATTTCAAGCGTTTAGATTTTTCATACAAAAGGATTTTCCCGCTAATTCCTGTTCCCGTGGGAATTCCTAAGTATACTATAACCTGCCCAGGAGTATGAAGAATAATTGTACCAAGTTTCGTTAAAATCCGTCGAGTAGTTTTTGTTTCTAAAAGGAACATACAGACGGACAGACAGACAGACAAAAATTTTACTGATCGCATTTTTGGCATCAGTATCGATCACTAATCACCCCCTGATAGTTATTTTGAAAATATATTTCATGTACAGAATTGACCTCTCTACAGATTTATTATAAAAGTATAGAAGAAAAGTCTGGATATTAGACTTACTTACCTACTGGTATTATTGGGATATAGGTACATAGGTATGTTACGTTAAGTAGGTACTTACCTACATCTGAAAAAATTGCAATCTAATGCTTTTTGGAAGCTTTTAGATTAGACAATCAGGTTGATTTAAGCCTGATATGGCCGATCGATTATGCCTGCATCAATCTCAAGTGATATTGAACACTGCAATGTAAATCGAGCTGAGAAGTCTTAGTTCGCTGATGGCACCTTCCAATCACAGATGAGACAGGGCTTCCAATTCATATCATTAACTAGGTAGGTAAGGTAGCTAGCTACCTAACTTAAGTGAGTAAGTACCTACTTGGTCTAAACTAAGCTGTGGCTTGTTCATCACTATTTACTGAGCAAACTTTATAATAGAATTTCCTTGCCAACTCTACGCCTAAGTTGACTTAATGTCGATCGTACAAACAGAATGTTTGATGTGACAATGTTTAACCTTAATTAATTGGATTATTCAATCATTAATTCAAAAATACATAATATGAAATAGGTTACGAGGAATTCCATCACGTCATATCTGTAGGTACTTATTATTATTTTATTGAGGCAAATCTATTTAGAGAACAAAAAACTGGTTGTCAGTACTAATCTAGTTTGTGATAAAATATTTTTAAAATTATTAACTACAAACTTAATAACGAGTCGCCTATGAATTGTTTATTGGACTTTCTTTTAACAGACAATTAGTGCAAGTTAACTCTGGATAATTAAGATTTATGTAGGCAATGACATCGTCGTTTTGCGATATTCGCATACCGCATCGGTAACTTGTTCAACACAAAATTCGTAATGATACACGAATAAAAACATCCTTCTTCAGCATACATAGATGCTTTGTATCACAATGTCAGCCAACGCACCGCAAAGGAAAGCCGCATTAACAAAGCTGGCACGTACTGCGTACTGTTCTAGCTGATACCACCTTGTAACACTAGGTGCCGTAACAGGTATTGTTTGCTATGATAACCGTAAAAACCATCCTAAAGTATGTTCTTTTCCGCCACGCAATCATTCAACAGGCATACTGACGCACTCGGATATGGCCTTGTTTAGAAATAATTACAATTTCAATGTCCGGGAGAAATTTTGAAAATCGATGAATGAAGCAAGGGAAGACGTCATCGTCTAGATATTTTCTAAAAAAAGTGGATTGGTAGACTCTAAATTAGTAGAGCTCTAAGATATTCGCACCAGAACAAAATCATTCCACTTAAATATTTATCCTATGACGCATCGAAATTCCAAGATTAACGATTGTTTGCTTAAAAGCCTATCTTTTAGCACCATAAAATTATGCAATCAGCCGTTAAGTGTGCTTATTGTCCGCTGGCTGCATCGTTACACACAGGGGAATGACTGCAGTGGATAACGATACGATAAACTAGGTACTTAACAAAAGCGACTACTTTAACTAAATTTGTAACATAGTCCTTTGGAGGTCTAACAGATAAAGAGTTAAACTCACACGTTCTGGGGGTCCTGAGTTCGACTCCCGGCGAACAAATTACAAGTCGCTCTATAAATTTTATCAGGCATTTCAGGATCAACTTGATTGTCCAAAAACTTTCAAAGAGCAATTACGATTGCACTTTTTTTCTACAACTTACAATCAAGTAATGAAGGAATCTGGTAAGTAAGTAGATAGTAGAAAGTGGTCTGCAACTTTCCTCTTAAATCCTGTCGTAGATAATAGCTAATTAATTAATGTAGGGCAAAGTTCCTGTAAGCGATGCTGATGGCATAATGGCGAGTTAAAAGTGGCGCCTTTAGCTTAAAGTTATGTGAAATCGAAATTACGTCATAACGGTGCACAATGCAAGTGCATACCTAAGCCAAACGTTGAAGCAATAGCCGATTTGTCATAGCGATCCTGTGTCATTGCCAAATGAAGAGTTTGAGGATTCGAATTCAAACCACATGACTTAAGAAAGTTTAGTTACTCATGTTTTCCAACCCCGTACTTAATGGGCAGATTTTTTGGTGAGCAATAACCATTTACCCATTACCCGCTATCTACAAACCAGGAACTTTAAATTCCTTTACAATGTTAGCAACAAGCTGGACAAAAAATCAATAAACAGAACCATTAAAATTAAGTTGTGGCAGTAAGTACGAGTTACTCGTCTGGTAATATAAGATGAGCCTACTTAAACGTTTAATTTTCCTTGTTTCGTTCGTGACTTAAAAAGGTCTGCTAGAGCTCTTAAAAGGGCTATTAAATAGTTGTAAAGTACCTACATTTACTTATACAGGCACTGGCAATAGGTACCTTACTAAAATCTTTATAGGATAAAAATGATACAGTAGGTACCTTACTTACCTATAAAAGTACCTGCTTGAGGGGAAAATTATACCTAAAGTACCCTATGATTAAATTCTCATCATAAATTACTAAAAAATAAATTAAATTGATTCCGTTGACTTTGATACTAAAAAGAAATATTTTAGGTATTTTTTATCTTCCTAGTTAGGTAATTAATTAATTTGTGGGTCATAAATATTCATCATTAAATAAGCATAATTTTATATATTCAATCAAAGTTCACTTTAATATTGCAAATTGACACTTCCATGCGATCCACTTGCACCTTAGTTAACAGAAAACATAATAATTATGTCACGTTAACATTAAGAAAGAAATAACATTGATTAGGTTAAATTAAAACAAACTACTTAAACTTGCAACCCCGGAAAAATAATTGCAGGTCCTGTAGGATTACTGGTCTAGGTCACAAAATAGAAGTGTAATGAAATGTAATGCTTGCTAGAACCTCAGATAACATCTAGAACTAAATTAGCCCATAAGCAGACTGCAAAGAACCTCCGAAGGGTGCGAGGGTGCGCGTCGGATGAGCCCAACTTCCTCCATATAAAACGACCGCGCGGCGCGAGCGCGTCAGTTGGTGACGGAATTACGGGACGCGCGCACAATACTGTAAGTACATTTTTTAATTTTTTATTTATTTTCAGAAATCTAGTTTTTTGGGTGAATGATAAGAATAGGTCAATATTAATATTATCTAGGTATCTACGTAGTATTTTTTTAATTTAAATAATTTTAAGTAAATATTTAATAATTTTGTGTTCTTTAAATCAAATAATTTTGTGTAGGTACTGATTAAATATTTTAAAGTTAATTTAAATAATTTAAATCAATTTTTAAACTACTGCTGCTATTATTTTAAACTATTCTACTGTCTAGAAATGTGCTTAAGTGAAAAAATATCTTTCGATAAATTGGCAGTAACTTTTTAAATCGTAATTAATTGAATAATACCTACACATAATCTGTTTATATGTATTTTATACTTGAGCGGATTCCACACACCTAGTAGGCAGTGCGGAAATTCCAACATTGTAACCGCAGCTTAATAATTTACATTTAATTTAATCGATCAAAGCTTTAATAGCACCCTTGATCCTGATGACTGGAAGTTTCGAGCGCTGTGGGAGGAATGACCTGACCTCCAGGGCAAGGTCGCTTTCTCGCCCCAAGACCGGTTTGTGGCTCATCCCGGGGAAAGTTTGTAAACAAGGCAGATGCTCCTCACAATACTGTGGATAGCACGCGGGTGAAAAACACAATGGTTTTATGACCCTTTCTTCTCATTATCTTCTAATCGATACCCATGGAGAATAGAGAGC